CAGGAATGAGGTTGCGACAGCACTATCCGACAGGGAATGGGGGCATCCAAATACATGGACGCTGACAACGTCAGCGCCACTGATAGTTAATTGAACGGGCTTACCAGCAACAGAGATGCCTTGGGAAAGCACACGATCCCGGACCGCCAGGCTCGAGACAGTTACTGAACAAAATCCACGACGGCCGTGGAGGTCGATCTGCAGGATGTCAGAGACCGCAATTCCGCTGCTCATGAGGTTGTCTATATAGAACATGTGCTGGCTTGGCCAGTCATCTTCAAGCTTGAAGGCAAATGCAGTAGAGACTGCAGCTCGGTTTTGGCCTCCCGCCTCCATTTTTGAAAAAAAAGTCCATCACAATGTCATGCATGAGGAGTACTGTAAGAGTTTGGCTTTCGGCTTGTACAATTCGTTTTCGCAAAGCTTCCCTTTCTTTACTTATCTTTGATATTTATGACCCACCCAAGTTGGGTGGTGTGCTGCTTTGCTGCTTCGAATTGTAGTAATACCACTTTGTCAAATATCGTACTGGTCTCGTCATCGTCCAGTAACAATCGACATTCTTTGTTCCGTTGGGACTGTAGCTTTTGCTCGTTTTCGTTGCGCTTGCCTTCCCCTCTTTGGTCTTTCCATAACCTTGAACCTTCCAAGTTGGAAGGCTGTCGGTTAGCGCTACGGAGATGTGTTGAAGTTAGGTGTCAGGACGTCGAATGTCTCAGTACTCTGTCAGTTTTGTGCCTAGTTATTGCACTTTCTGACTGTATATAGTATCATGTTACAGTGATGGAGAGTTACTCTTAACTCGTATCCATATGTCCTTTTCTCTTTTACATTAGTATTATTATTATTATTATTCTCAATTCATGGATGACATGGTGTCAACCAATATTATGAATGAGGGCTACCAGCCATGGAATAAAAGAACAAGAAGGCAAAAATGCACACGCAAAATATGGCAAGTTAAATGAAAATGAAATAAAAGTAAATCAATCCAAAACCAAAATCAATTATAAAAATCAATCCAAAACCAAAATGAATTGTACAGGTAGCATATGTGATTTACTTTGGAGCTTGAAGTAATACACGAAGAGAATGAAAATCAATGATTAGTAAATGAAGATCGACGTACGTGTATATTTATCAAGCTTTTAAAAAACGCATTGAGGGTGTTGCTGGACTTTAATTGCTGAGGAATAGAATCCCATAATTGGTATGCTAGGAATACAGGCGATTTGCTCATGGAATTGGTTCTTGCAATCGGGAAACGAAGCGAGTTCCGGCTTGTTGAGGATTCATTGAACCAGTTTAAGGAATGCTGCACATGCTGAGGGGCAGTGATAAGTTTGATTTTGTGAATGTATACGCAGGAGGATCGGTCAATGTAATGTTTCAGAGGAAATGTACTACAATTTTCATAGAGAACGGCTATGTTGGTCTCGGGCGGCAAACGAAGTATTGCCCGGAGAATCCGTCGATGCACAATCCCCAGCTTTACAAAGAGGCCATTACCAGCGCCACACCACACCACACAGCAATACAAGAAAATAGGCAAAACGTATGCATGATAAAAGGTCTTTCGGCATTCTGGTGAAATGTGGGGGAGATGGCCATAAAGAATACCGACGACTGAGCTTGCCCGCTTTTCCAGATTCTGGAAATGGTGGGACCAGTCCAATTTGCTATCAAGTGTAACGCCAAGGTGCTTGTGACGAGAGGTTATAGGTATCGGGGTAGGATCATCGGGGAAATGGAAAATAAAAGTTTGAAGATGTGCAACATCTGATGACGCGTTGGGGACGACACACATGATCTCGGTCTTGGCGGAGTTCGGCCGGAGTTTCCACCTTCGCATCCACTTGACCACACACTGAGTCTATTGCATTCATATTCAAGAAGATACAATGACAATTTATTTGTAATTATCTTGCAACATGTTGAGGAAATAGCAAAATTGAACTCGGATGGTGAGCCAATCAAATTATGGTAAAAAAAAGGAGAAGGACAAGCGCCTTGGAGAAGTGTTGGAGCTACATGTAAGTGTCAGATCGCCAAAATTATTGTCTCAGTACTCCTTGTCAGTTTTGTGCCATTTTGTCACACTCGCTGACTGTATAAGATCTGGTTACGTTGGTGGACAGTAATACCGGTACATGTAGTCATACATGTAACTAGTAACATTTTGTCCTTCTCCTTTTTCACCAAAATAGCAAAAATCCTGGATTTTTAAGTTCCACATTTCGGAACCAATGCTGTGAGAATTCCAGCGGCATGATTTCAACCAAACTGTGAAGAATAAATCTGTATGTCATATTCTTCAAAAGGAAAAGTTAATCGGATGGCATCGAATCTTCCTGTTGTGGAGCTAGACACGCTTTATCTCTGTTCTGTGGCGGATAGGGTCCAGCGGACAATGCCGGCACTACATGTACATGTATATTCGGTCTTACATAGGCCTTGACAGATTATGCTAGCATAATTTTTCGCATAATTCCTACCAAAATCGAATAATCGCATAATTCGAGGCAAATTGCATACGAATCGCTTAAAATTGGAATAATCCGCCTGTTCGCATCAAATTACATACAGTTGTACAGGTACAAGTACATGTACAAGTACATGAAGATGCACCAGGAAGTCGTAGGTTTACGACTCCCTTGATAACATGTCCAGTCCACTACAATCAGTGACGGTCGTAGCTAGGTCGGACGGTGCGTTGACCCCGTTGAACTTTTGCTACTACAGTACAACGCCCTGTACAAAAAATTCCCCTGTTATTTTGAACAGAACCATGATACATTAGCAGCATATGTGAGCATAATGTGGCATAATATGATAACTTTTAGCTTAAAAATAGCATAATTCTGCAATTTTTTCAGCAATGCGAAAAGCATAATTTCACGAAAATATTAGCATAATCTGTCAAGGCCTAGTCTTACATGTATAAGACTATCCGAGCATCAGAGCATTATGGAGCGTTACATTGGAACAAAACGAGCATTGTGTGAGGTTTGAGCGGCATTACGAGTTGCATAGTGAATGATATCGGAAAATCCCTGGATTTTCGCAACAATTGGCTACTACAGTGCTGGCAACTGAAATCCGACAAGGGGGTCGGATTTCAGTTGCCAGCACTGTAGTACATGTACATGCAGTCATATGAGATTAGGCCTTTCCCAAATCGGCCGGCCGAAAAATTCGCCGAAAAGTAGCCTTTCCAGAAAATCGCCGATCTTTTGGCCGAATTCAGAGATTTTGCCAAGAAATCGCCGAGTAGACATGTTTTGCAGGGTCGTGGGCGACTGGGCATGACCGCTGGTGCGCACCTGCGTCACGGCCCGTGGGCATTTCCCAAATCGGCCGGCCAAAACATTGGCCGAAAATAGTGGTTTTGAAGAAATCACCGATCTTTTAGCCGGATACGCAAGTTTCGCACTGAATTCGCCGAAAATTGATGTTTTAGTGCCTCAATAGCATGCAAATACAATTTCTGTAGCCATTATCTACATAAGGTGGCTGCGACTTTAGAGCCGAATTTCCACCTTTTACAGAAATTTTCAGCCGATTCTGGCGATTTTTTCAGCCGATCGAAAAGCCGAATAGGCCAAAATAAATGGCCGATTTGGGAAAGGTCTATATGAGATCCAACCCTCGTCGTGTCTGAAAAGCGTGCAGCTGGAACGCATTGTACCGGTACATGACTTTGTGGACAAGTAACCGTTTCTGTGGAGTCGTGAGTGTTTACAGTACACATTAGGGTCTGTTTTTCTTTATTATATTTTTATGCTGGATTACGCAAATGTACCAGCAATGAAAAAATAGTGCCCTCTCTTGAATACTGCCCCATCTGTGATGGACATTAAAACAATTGTGCCCCAGGGGCACTAATCGCGCGAGTACGGTAATAGATTTTGGAATTGAAATGGAAACGTGGCACTACATTGTACTTCAGTCTGAATTTTGACTCGTGGGTCAACCAAAGCTTGTTCTTCGACTCTAAATAAATAAACAAAAAAAATAAAGCTGTTCCACAAATCCGAAGCGATGATTTACATGTACATGGGGGAGATGTTTTTTTTGGAAAATCATGGAGAGCCATGGATCATGGAGGAAACAGACGAAGAGGAGTTTTCTTGTTGTGCCTCAGGCTCTGGCGATGGCGTCTCCACAAGATGTATTTTGAAGTAGCGATATTGAAGTAGACACTGATCCATGGATAAAGTTGATAAAGCTCCTCTTCGTCTGTTTCCCCATGATCCATGCGGCTCTCCATGATTTCTAAAAAAACATCTCCTCCATGTACTGTAGATGTAAGTCATCGCTTCGGATTTGCGGAACAGCTTTATTTTTTTGTTTATTTATTTAGTCTATTTTAGAGTCGAAGAACAAGCTTTGGTTGACCCACGAGTCAAAATTCAGACTGAAGTACAATGTAGTGCCACGTTTCCATTTCAATTCCAAAATCAATTACCGTACATCTTGCACCGTCCAAAAACCCATCCGAGCGCCACATGGGTGCTGCTTTTGGCTTTAATTATAAGTTATATTATGGGTCGCATTTCTTTGGCTACGACTGTACACGACTGTACATGACTAGACTGTACATCGGTACAAAGTCATGTACTTCAGGACACGTAAATGCGTTCCAGCTGCACGCATTTCAGAAACGACTAGGGTTGGATCTCATAATTATGGCTGCAGGTACTAATAGCTAATTGTTGCAAAAAATCATGGATTTCCCAAGATTATCCACTACTAGTATGCATGCAACTCATAATCATGAAGTAATAATAATTATTATAATAGTTGGTTGTTCCAACGAGGAACACACGCTTCTTGCCGAACTAACTTGACACTTGACTGACTCACGACTGCCATCCGGAGCACGTCGCACCTTCAACTCGGCAAACCTGCAAGAAAGCACCACTCCCTGCTCAATACAAAAGGGAGCTGAGTCACGCTGCTACCTGGGGCTTCACGAGGTGTTTTTCAGCAAGCACCCATCTAGACACACATATTTATTGTCATCAAAATCAACTCACACTACTATCATTATGATGCCGCCAGAACTTGCACTTGCAGTTGAGAATTACTGAAGGAAACTGCACTATAGAAAGTAGATCGAGTCAAGTGAAGTCAGCTCCGTTGTCAGAGAAATCAGCGATGCTAGAAAATCTTGATGAACAGGGGAGAAGTTGCAGTAATGTCGCAAAACAATACATACTAGATCCTGTAGCTACACGTATCCTGCAGTAGAGAAAGATGAATGTTGAATAGAACCAGAATATGCCAATAACGAATATAAACAGTTGTGAAAAACAATCGCCACAAAGAGAGCTGGAATCAAATATCAAGGCCAACACTGAGGAAAATGTTACTTTTTTAAAGACTTTAAAATCATCGGAGGACCATTTAGTATACTAAACGTGAAAAATTGCGCCAAGCTCCATTCGAAACTAGATATCGACTGCAGTTAGATCTCAATAAAGTAGAACTTGAACACGGAATACATCACATGACAAGAGACTTGGTTTGTTTATATTGAAGCAAGGACATCAATTGCATCTCTCCTTTGCATGGCCATCAGAGCTTTGATAAGCATTGCAACAGTGGCAGCGGAAACGCCAATTCGACCTTGCCACACGAACAACGTTTGCTCGGTCGGTCCTTCGTTGTCTTGCGATTGCTCCTCTGTCGAAGTCATCCATGATTTCTCCAGAAGACTGAGCTTCTCTTCCGGAAGTCCAAGAAGTATGTAGAGTCTAAAAATGACGGGAAAAAGAATACAACAATGAGTTGTCTTAATTAATGTCTGTGGTGCCTCCTTTGCACCATGGTTGGTAGCTCGGCTTTCTTTTAAGCTCACAGTTGTCCGGATGAGGCGTACATGGCCAAAACAGCTAGCTCAAGTAGCTGTCTACAGCATTGGGTGCTAAGCTCCTCGACATTTGTCTTCTTGAGCACTCTCGGTAGGCTGCTCTAGTACTGCTGCATAACGCATCGCCCGCTATGTTTCGTAGTTAGGCTGAAACCACACTAGGCACAAAACTGCGTAAACACAACTTTTCGCCTGTGTCATCAAGGAAACGCATGCAAAACGCAAAACGCGCTGCATTTCTTTTCAGCAAACCTGGTACCCCTGTAGAAAGCAACTTTTCGCCTTTTCCTTGCCTTTCGCTCGGTTCTTCATACGGGTAGGGATCGCTTGTTGAGGTTTGCACCGTGTCGTTAGTACATGTACATGGCTTCCTTGTCAGTCTGTAGTATTTGAGATTTCATCTGCCAGGGCTTTGCTTCCAGTATAATTTCCGGACACTCCTGTTGCCTGCTGTTGTTAGTTTCCGAGATGCCGCACAACTATTTCACTGACGATCTCGAAAAGAAGCTCATGGAGCTTTGGGCAGCGTACCAGAAGACGAAGCAGGGCCAGATGACAAAGCGGACCATCCGAAAGAAGGAGAGGACCGAGGCCTTGAACGCGTTTGCCAAGGAGCTCTAGACTCTTTTTCAAACTAATGCATTTAAAAAAATCAGAGGCCACATGCCACGTACTGCTCTTTTCTCTCCGAAACTCAACACTTGCAAGCCAGATATGAAAGAAAGAAAAAATCATCAGTCACAACACCGGGACTCGAACCAGGGACCTTGCTATTCGCGAGCAATGCTCTAACCAACTGAGCTACAGTATGACTCTTATCCACAGTGATGGTAAATCTATCCTTCTTCGATCAATCCACATCTGGCTTGCATCATACTGGCAACTCACACCAATCAAGGCGGCCCCCGGTCATTCGCTTGATATCATGGGGAGCGCATCAAACTATGTCCACTGCGAACAAATACAAATTGCAATTTCAAATTTGGACTTCACGGAGAATTTGAAAGTATTAGGAAATTAGAGGCCACATGCCACGTACTGCTCTTTTCTCTCCGAAACTCAACACTTGCAAGCCAGATATGAAAGAAAGAAAAAATCATCAGTCACACCACCGGGACTCGAACCAGGGACCTTGCTATTCGCGAGCAATGCTCTAACCAACTGAGCTACAGTATGACTCTTATCCACAGTGATGGTAAACCTGTTGTTCAGAAGATCCCGAGGTCTGAACCAACGACTATATGTCACATGCATGGTTGTGCTGTACTGCTACGCATCGGCTTCTAGTATGCTTGCATTCATGGTAGCATTGACTGTAGCGTAGACCTGAGCGGTCACGTGCATGTTTCTGTCTCGCGAGTTCCCGGATGCATGCACCGGAGCTTGCGCCGCGCTGTGCTTTTGTTTAGTTCCTGGTTGTTGGACTTTTAGTAGTGTTTTAGACTAGTTGGTGTGAACAGTTGCTTTTCGGAGTTCATGTAGAAAGTTCAAGGTTATTGTTTCTTCGAATCGCTTTCCGTTGTGCACGAATGTGGAATGTGTCACTGTGTGAGTGTGCGTTCCCTTTAGTGAGCTTTTCTTAGTAACAGAAAATTGGTAGCAGAGGATGGTTACTAAAAGGAATTAGCTCAGCAGATTGATTGTGATAGTGTTCGCGTTGCGATTTGTAGCAGTGCGTCTCGAACCTGGAATAGGGTGCGGATAATGGCATCGTCGGAACCCACGACCTTGGAGTATGCTGCGGAGCCGAGTGCTCAGGGAGAATTGGAGGACGACTATGAAGAAAGGCCAAATTCGGGCCGCCGTCGCTCCTCAACTCCAGAGCGAGAGGAAGCAGCTGGGGATCGTGGAGTGGGCCTAAACTCAGCGCAAGTGGAGAGCGAACTGAGAGTGAGAAAGGCCGCCATCAAAGGGCAGTTCACGAGAGCGAGACGAGGCTTGCTAGTGCAGCTAAATGCCGATGGTCCATGCGACATCGAAGGGATCTCGCAACATCTGGAAGGCCTGACGGCACTGTACGACGGAGCTACTAGTTTGTTGGCAGACATGATCGGCAGCTGCCAAGACGTTCGCCAGCGGAATAAACTGGCAAGTGAGTTGGAAGCACTGGAGACTCAATTTTCGGCGGCCATGGATCGAGCGCAGGCCAAGATCGATGTCAGTAAACTGACCGAAGCCCATCCGCAGTCACCGTCACAAGGCCGAACGGACATCATCTCGTCTCCTCACGAGGACACAGTATACACACTGTCTGGGAGTCAGCGTGGGAACCCGACAGAGACTGTCGGCGGCAAGACCATTGTTCCTGTAAGTACAAGCACTCAGGTCGGTACTAGGACACTTGACGCGACAGGTAGAGCTAGTGCAATGTCGTACACCAGCATCAGTGATCTGTCAGTGTCAAGTGTGAGCGCCAGCCCTGTTCAGTCTGTACATGACACTGTACTGCCTACCTCAGCACCAGTGACAACCATCAATGGCATCACAGGTAGCAGCAGCCTCACTGCAGCCACTACCTTGACCACTGGCACTAGCATGACTAGACCACTTGCCTCACTGGCTGCACCCAGGAGTGGTACTACCAGGCAGCCATCCACCAGTCAAGCTGTGGCCAGCAGCCAGCCTGCATTCAGTAGCAGCAGACTGAATGCAGGGGCAAGTGTGTATGTGCCATCTGCACCATCTGCACTGCCTGCTGCCAGTAAAGCCTGGCCAGGTGGCGCAACCAGTCCTTGGACACACATGCAGCGCATTGAGATCCCCACATTTGCAGGCGATAAACGTAGTTTCGAGGCCTGGTGGGCTGCGTTCTCAGCGTGCGTGGACAAATCGCCAGTGTCACCAGAGTGCAAGATGCTCAGGCTGCGGCAATATCTGAGTGGCGAGCCACTGCGGACTATCAAGAGTCTCGGGTACACTGCTGCGTCCTATGAAGCTGCCAAGGACATGCTCACAAGGAAGTATGGCGGCGAGCGTCGTCGTCTGGCAATCCAGCTTGAGGAGATTGAGGAAATGCGGCCAATCCGAGAAGGAAAGCCACGGGAGCTGCAGCAGTTCGCTGAGTTGCTGATGGTAGCAACTGTCCAGCTCAAGGAGGCAGGACGACATGCGGAGCTGTTGGTCGGCACGCTCTATCACTCCCTGATGAAGAAGCTGGATGAACGGATCATAGCGCGCTATCATCGCTGGCGATATGACCATAATAGATCAGAGAGTGTAGAGTGCCTGTTGGAATTTGTTACCCTGGAAGCCGAGCTCCTGGTGACGGCGGCAGAGACGGTATCAGGTTTCAACACAGCGGCAAAAGCAGACCAGCCCCGCAGCTCGCAGGATCATCGTGCAAGAACGCTGCTTACCGGTACTCGCAACAAGTCATCTCCAAGCAAGTGCCCAGCCTGCCAAAGCCAACACCCAGTCTGGAGGTGCCTGGTATTTAAGTCGGCCACGCTAGATGAACGATGGCGCATTGCCAAGGCCAGCAACCTGTGCTTTCGGTGCCTGGGCGCTGGACACCGTGGGCAAGAATGCACTTGGGGGGACGCGTGTGGCATAAGTGGTTGCAGCAAAAGTCACCATCGGCTGCTGCATAACGCGGAGAAGACGTCGTCAGCCTCGGGCACTGACACAGCATCCGAAGACAGCAAGCCTACGGTACGCCAGGCGCTCGCAACATCAGCAGAGGGCAAACAGCAGCGTTCACGAACAACAAGCAACAGCAGGCAGTCGGAACCAGCGATGTCCCTAGTCACGTGTCAGACTACAGATGACAGCAAGGCATTATCAACAGCTTCCAAAGCGTCCAAGCTCATCGCCGTGTCCATGAGAACGGTGCCAGTGAAACTCAGGTCTGGTGGGAAAGAAGTGCTTGTTAATGCACTGCTGGACGACGCAAGCACGGACTCATACGTAAGTTCGCATGTGGCATGTGAGCTTGGTCTAACGGGAGAAAGACAACACCTGCCGGTGAAAGTGCTCAGCGGTCGTACTGAGGTGTTCTCAACAACACATGTGACGGTTCAGCTCTGCAGTGTGGACGGAGAGACATCGGCGACGCTGGACGCATTCACAACCGACTCAATCCTCGGCAGTGACAATGCAGTGGATTGGGTGCACAAGCGCCGTGATTGGGCACACCTCCGCAACATTCCATTCCCAGCACTGCCGAACCGTCGACAGGTAGATGTGTTACTCGGCCTTGATGCAGTACAGCTTCAAGCAGCCATACGAGAAGTCCATGGGCAACCTGGAGAGCCGATTGCTCGCCTGACCCCCCTTGGATGGACCTGCGTCGGCAGGATTGGCAAGGTCAAGGCAGACCCGGTAACCTGTCTTACACGGGCTGCGCCACACGACGTTCGGGAAAGTATTGCGCGGCTATGGGCCATTGAAGAGTTTGGCCAGGCTCAACCGCAGCAGCCCACTCTTTCTGTGGAGGAGAAGGAAGCGATGCAGGCTGCCAGAGAGTCCATGCAGTGGATCGCCGATGGACGGTACCAGGTCGGCATCCCATGGCGTGCTGGTCGGCCAACACTACCTGACAATTTCGCGGCTGCACTGAAGCGTCTGCAAAGCACGGAACGACGCCTAAGCCAGGATGCAGCAGCAGCTACAGCTTATAGCAACATCGTACTGGATTACGTCAAGAAAGGGTACGTGCGAGAGGTCAGTAGCAGCGAGCTCAAGCAAGGTCAACAATGGTTCCTGCCGCACTTCGCAGTCCTGAGACCGGATAAAGCTACGACGAAGACCCGGATGGTCTTTGATGCATCAGCAAAGTGCAAAGGCATTGCACTCAACGATACCATGCTGCCAGGGCCGAAACTGCAACGCCAGCTGCCGAACGTGCTGACCCGCTTCCGGCACAAACCAGTAGGAATCATCTGCGATATCGCCGAGATGTACCTTCAGGTTCATCTCCGTCCAGAGGACCGTCCCTACCACCGATTCCTGTGGCGAGGCATGGAGCCAACAGCTGAGCCACGTGTGTACGAATTCGAAAGACTCGTGTTCGGCGCCAACGCCTCGCCGTTCTTGGCTCAGTTTGTCTATCAAGAACATGCCCGAACAAACCGCCACAAGTACCCATTAGCAGCGGAAACCATGCTGCACTCAACGTACATGGACGACTCCATGGACTCGGCCACAGATCCCAACGAAGGTGTGGAAATGTATGAGCAGCTGTCAGCGTGCTGGAAAGAAGCCGGAATGCATGCCAGAAAATGGCTCTCCAACTCAAAGGTGGTCATGGAGAAAGTGCCTCAGCAAGATCGTGCCAGCCAGATCGACGTGAGCTGCCCAGAGCTGCCAAGTGTCAAGACGCTGGGACTGCTCTGGTCGGCCGCAACAGATAGCTTTACGTTCAAGCCGAACGTACCAGACCTGTCGAAACAAGTCACCAAGCGATCGTTCCTGAGCGCAACGGCAAGCGTATTTGACCCGCTTGGATTCGTAGGCCCCTATGTAGTGAGCGCTCGGCAGCTGATTCAAGACATGTGGCTTCTGGCGTTGGATTGGGATGAACCGCTTCCGGATGTCCTAAGCCAGCGGGTTACGGGTTGGTACGCAGACCTAGCCGAGCTATCTCACCTCTCGATCCCACGCTGTTTGCAGGCAGTTGAGGCAGGCAGCCCTACCAGCAGGCAAATCCATGTGTTCACCGACGCCTCAGAAACCGCTTATGGTGCGGTCAGCTATCTCCGTTGTGTGTATGATGATGGCCATGTGTCTACTGCTCTCATCGCTAGTAGAGCCCGTGTAGCCCCGCTTGCAGCCATATCGATTCCGAGACTAGAGCTGCTAGCTGCAGTCATGGGCATGCAGTTGGCTATCTGGTCATCCGATGTCCTCAGTCTACCAGCAAGTGAAGCAACCATTTGGACAGACAGTCTGAATGTGCTGTACTGGATCCGGAACCGTGCGCGGAGCTTCAAGCCGTTCATTGCAACACGCATCGGAGAGATTCAGCAGAGCACCAGTCCCAGTCAGTGGCGTCATGTGCCGACTAAAGTGAACCCGGCGGATGTTCTCTCCCGAGGTTCGTCAGCCCAGGCTCTGATCCATAACGAACTCTGGTGGTCGGCGCCGGACTTTCTCCGCAAAGAGGAAGCAGAATGGCCAGCACAGCAGCTTCAAGAGCCAAAGTCTACCGTCAACTTGGAAAAGAAGAGTGCAGACCCGTCGGGGCAGGCACCAGTCGTGCTAGCTACAGTGGCGGCTGAGGCCGAGGCACCTTGGAGCTTGAATCCAACAAGGTTTTCTGACATCAACCGTCTCGTACGACGCCGAGCATGGGTGATGCGTTTTGTGCAGAACTGCTCCAAGCCAATGGAGCTCCGTGAGACTGGCCCATTGTCCTCTGACGAGCTTGCGAGCAGCCGAGCTAGTGTGATTGCGGCAGCACAAGAAGAGTCATTGGAAGAGTACCGCTTGGTGAGAGATGGAAAGCCTATCCCAGCATCAAGTAAGCTTGCGAAGTTACGACCAATGCTGAATGATGATCAACTGCTGTGTGTTGACAGCCGTCTCCGAAATGCCGCGATCCTGGACGAGCAAGCCAGATGTCCTGTGATTCTGCCGCGCGGACACTGGGTTACCCAGCTCATTGTCAAGGAGGCTCATGAGAAGAACCGTCATGCTGGTGGCATAAGTCATACGCTGTCTGATCTGTCACAGAAGTATTGGCTTCTTGCTGGGCGAGAGGAAATAAAGGCATGGGAGAAGAAGTGTGCTCACTGTCAACGGCAGGCCGCGAAGCCAGGCACACAGATAATGGCGCCACTACCCACCGTCCGTGTGTCATTGCCGCTGAGAGCATTCTCGCGTGTCGCGGTGGACTACGCCGGACCTTTCACAACCAAGCAGGGACGCGGAAAACCTCGGGCGAAGAGATACCTCTGCCTATTCACCTGCCTTCAGTCCCGGGCTGTTCATTTGGAAATGGCAACAAGTCTCGATGTCGACGGATTCATGAATGCTTTCTTGAGGATGACCAACCGGCGCGGCGTTCCGATACAGGTCGTCTCCGATAACGGCCACAACTTCGTCGGAGCCGCCAACGAGATGAAGAAGCTTCTGAAGGCAATGGAGGGAGATGTGCAGCGTCGAGCAGCGGACAAAGGCATCAAGTGGTCATTTAACCCGCCGGCTGCTCCACACTTTGGTGGCGTACACGAGGCACTAGTGAAATCTGCAAAGCGTGCCATCTTCGCCATCCTAGCAGGTGCGGAAGTGAATGATGAAGAATTGGCGACTGCAATCACCGGCGCAGAGGCGTTACTGAATTCACGACCACTTACCTACCAGTCAGCAGATGCCAGAGATTTGCTGCCGTTGACACCCAATCATTTCCTTTACGGACACCAGGGCCAGCCATTCGTACCAAAGGGCACCGACATTGTGCCGCACAGCCACCGTTATTGCTGGCGAGTTGTCCAGAGTTTGGTCCTACAAGTATGGAAGCGCTGGATGACCGAGCTATTGCCACTTCTCCACACTCGTGCAAAGTGGCGGCAGCCGCAACCAGACATCGCTGTGAACGATGTTGTGCTGGTTGTCAACACAGGAACACCCAGAGGTAAATGGAAGCTGGGACGTGTGGAGGAGGTCTACCCTGGCGTTGATGGACGGGTCCGAGTCGCGAAGGTCAAAGTTGGTGACACATCGTTGGTCCGTCCCATCGCTCAGATGTGCAAGCTTAGCTCGGAATAACGGTCAGAAGAGTGTATGATGAACATGTCCAGTAGCAAAGCTGAGAGTAATTAAATAGCGTCTGAGTGACTGCAAGTGGGTGCGTATAACATCGCATTGCTTTGCCTACGTGACATTATCGGATAGTTAATAACATTATGCACATGTATGCATAGGGTGAATATTATTCTGGAGACTGCGCACTACAGCTGCTGTCATCACTATGTTTTTAGTATCCGGTGTGAGGCACCGTAAATGGCTAAATTGTAGCGTTTCACTATGTTTCATCATTATTGCGAGTGCATGTGTTAGTGGCTGATTAATCTACGTTCAATCAGGGTAGGGGAGAATGTTCAGAAGATCCCGAGGTCTGAACCAACGACTATATGTCACATGCATGGTTGTGCTGTACTGCTACGCATCGGCTTCTAGTATGCTTGCATTCATGGTAGCATTGACTGTAGCGTAGACCTGAGCGGTCACGTGCATGTTTCTGTCTCGCGAGTTCCCGGATGCATGCACCGGAGCTTGCGCCGCGCTGTGCTGCGCTGCTTTTGTTTAGTTCCTGGTTGTTGGACTTTTAGTAGTGTTTTAGACTAGCTGGTGTGAACAGTTGCTTTTCGGAGTTCATGTAGAAAGTTCAAGGTTATTGTTTCTTCGAATCGCTTTCCGTTGTGCACGAATGTGGAATGTGTCACTGTGTGAGTGTGCGTTCCCTTTAGTGAGCTTTTCTTAGTAACACCTGTCCTTCTTCGATCAATTTAGTACATAAATTTCACAGCGCAGTGTTTTCTGGGACCCAGAAAACGTGGAAAACACAAGGATCCATTGCGCATCAGAAACGACAGTGTGGATGCAATTTTGCGATATCGAAAAGCTGAACGTAAACGTCTACTTGATTTTCTACGTAGTGTGGTTGCAGCCTTAGAGCACTCTGGGGCTAGAGTAACGAGTTATCTTAATGTCTGTGGTACCTCCTTTGCTCCATGGCCGGTAGGTCGGCTTACTTAAAGCTCGTAGCAGTACTGATGAGGCCTATATGGCCGAGTACAGCTTACTGTCTACAGCATTGAGGAGAAAGATTACACAAAGACTACTGCGAATCTGAAAGTTCAATGGTGGATTACCTGGTATTGTTCAGATTCGACGTGGAGAGATTGAAATGATTTTGGACCACATGTTACTTTATGCACAAAAAAACCCGATGGTTGAAATTCTACTTCGAAGTAGATTAGAAATTTTCAGTAAAATATCACTTGCACCACAGTGGCCACAATGAACACCGCCAGATGTGACGCTTTCCAATGCAGTAGAGGCTTCTCAAGTGGTAACACAACGTTCTGCGAACCTACACTCTTTTAATGCTCTTAATATAATTTGAAGCGACGCACCTTGGTTGTGTTCATGAGTTTTGCACAACTTCAGAATAGTGAATGTTTAGCTCATGTGGACTCAAGACTCACCTTCGCCAGTCATCTCCGAAGGGATGCTTGCGGTCCAGCAGACGACAAAAGGAAGCGCGCGTGTCAGCAGACAGCGTTGACACTGGACGATCACGAAACCTCTCTTGCAGGTCGTGGATATGTGCTACATCTTTAGGTGGACTTTCCGGTGATATCGGGAAAGCCGTCGGCGAGGTCGATAGTTCCAGGTTGTCATGTTCAATTGCCTCCATATGCTGTGCAACTGCTCGAATGCGAGATTCCTGATCCAAACTTCCCTCCCTCGACACTATACCAGCATAAACACCAGGACAGAAATTTGTGCAATTACCCAAGCAACACCCCAAAGATCACACCTACCGTAGAATCCCGCGGATAAGCCCACCCGCGGATAAGGCCATGCCCGCGCATAAGCCCAGGGTTTGTTCGAACATCACAAAGCTCATCGTACAAGCCCATGGGCCTAGGTCATACCGAGAGTCCATAAATTATGGACTCTTGGCATACCATGTACGTAGTACATGCAGTTTTTTCGTACATTTCAGCACAATCATCGGTTGTTTTTGTTTGCACAGTGGTTTTCAGCAATGTTCTTCTCACTTCCTTGATACTTTTCAATAGCACAACTTGGTGTCGGCGTATAAGCCCATGCCCGCGTATAAGCCCATGTTCTCGTATAAGCCCACCGAAATGTCCTTGTGAAACAGATAGGCTTATCCGCGGAATCCTACGGTAATTCCTTGGGTCCTTTGCATACAGGGAATTGCCAATCCAAGTTGGAAACACACATCCTTGGCGTAGATACAGGGGATCGAACACATGAAGATAGTAGAAGATAGTAGTAATGCCATTACTGAAACACCGTAGAATTCCGCGGATAAACCCAATGGGGTTACCTGTTTCACAAGGACATTTCGGTGGGCTTATACGAGAACATGGGCTTACACGCCGACACCAAAATTGTCTATTGAAAAGTACCAAGGAAGTGAGAAGAACATAGCTGAAAACCACTGTGCAAACAAAAACAACCGATGATTGTGTTGAAATGTACAAAAAAAGAACGAAAACCCCTACATGTATTATGGTCATGTACATGGTACGACCTAGGCCCATGGGCTTGTACGACGAAGCTTTGTGTGATGTTCGAACTTGGCCTGGGCTTATGCGCGAGCATGCGCTTCTACGCGGCGTGGGCTTATCCGCGGAATTCTACGTTAGTTGACCATGTTCTAGCCTGTTGAAACAGGTAACATAAACTGGTCAACTTCGAATATAAGTGCATTTTTACTCGGCACCGTAGTAGCGCACATATAGGCACATGCGCCTGTATTCGGATAAAAGCGCACTCTCACTTACAAGCGCATGCTCTTGTAAGCGAAGCACTACCAAAATTCTCACTTTGACACAATCACGGAAAAAAGTCTGTAAACAGCATACAGGAACCATGAAACTGACACTACAAGACCTGGTCAAACACAAAGATTCTGGCAAACGAACTCTGATCGTGCATGTGCGTTAAGGTGAAAATATTTCATTTTTGAAAATTGGATTCGTAGCAAAAATTCACTTAAGCGCATGTGCTGATATGTGTGTTAATATGGTGGCGATCAGTAGGGACTATACAAAATGTCTGTGGAATACGGAAGTATCGTTTTGCCGAGAGCAGTCCACTATGGGACAGTTTATCGTATAAATTGAGTATGGTACCGTACCTTGCCGGCTGCTGCCCAGAGAAGATGGGTTGCTCCATGCTTCGTCCTCACCAGGCTCCACTGACAGCAGCTTGGCGATGCTCGGCTGCTCCAGCCGCAATGCATCGAGAAATGCAGGGAACGCGTTCGACCCGCTTCTTTTCAGCATCTCCAGAAACGACGAGTTCTGCTGCCTTGAATTTTCACTCATCTCCCGAAGCTGTAGTGTGGAACGACAGCAGCAAAGCAGACACACTTGGAAGTAGAATCTCCTTGTGAATGTGATTTGCTAAGCTTGGAGATTCAGTAGATGTGTGTGCATTGTTTGGTGTAGAGTTCCGTAGGCTTAGATTTCTCACCTTTCCGATGGCTCAACTGTTTGGTTCTGGCTTGGCTTCACGGTATACTGTTTAGCCTGGACGGCCCATTTCGGCACGCAAAATCAAGAGTACTTTACAGCTTGATGTGTGCATACCGGTCGAGGTTCCGGAAGCAGCCTGCCGACATGTTTTCAGATGCTGAGCCACGGGAGCAGACAGTGTGCACAGCGAGTTCCAATGTACAGCACAGGCCTTTGGCTGTCTGCACTACTGTAGAACCGGAAAGTTTAACGACCAAAAATGTTTAAAACGTTTTTGTAATTTTGGCATGATATTAAACGTGCAGAAAGTTTAACGATGGCTACATGGCCACCCAGAAAATGCATCGATGTATGCGCATATTTACACAGACATCTCGAACCGGGTTCGCAATAACGTTTCTTCAAATAACGAAAAAAAATTGGTCGTTACACGGTTAGACTTTGTGATTCGTTAGACTTTCCGGTTTTACAGTTTTCCAAGATTGGTTGTTGCTTTGCTCTTGCGATGACCATTTCCACTTTCTTTACCTTTTATATTTTCTCTGGTTGGACTGAACTAAATCTGTCAATCTTCCAAGACATAGAATTAAACAGTTCGTAACAGAACCTGAATGAAGCTGTTCGCTCCAGCAGGATTACAACCTATAACAACACTATGCAGCCCGGACTGGCACACAGCAATAATTATTACAACCACATGTACAGTAAAAACCAGGTGTAAGCGCCCTCTGGGTTTAGCGACCACCTGCTCTTAACGACCAGGTTTTCCATGCACGGACTGTTCTACGCAGAAACTGTGGGACCTGGTTCTAAAGACCACCTGGCTTTACCGACCGCTTTTGCTTGCACCGTGGGGTGGTCGCTTAAACCAGGTTTTCCTGTATGTTAATTAGTGGATAATCTCAGGCTTCACCGTATTACCGTTGCAAGCCACCAGCTACAAGAAACCATAATTCATTTGTGACACCACCAGCAGGGTAGCTACATGTATGTGAACATTTTTCCAGGTCCTGTTTTTGTGGTTTCGAATTTCCTAGGCGGCTGGCCTGGGGCAACCGCTTGCTCGCGGACGGGTGTCGTCAGTGAAAATCTTTTTCCAATTGTGTTCTCGACATTGCAGTTTGCTTGTCTTGGCTAATGACAAAAATTCTAATAACATTACAAATAAGCGACGAGGCGACAACAGTTTCAAATTGCGAACAAAAGGACGACGCAGCCCTCACTGTAACCCACACACTTCACATATCGATTCAGCTTGTCCATTTGTTCTCAGTCAATTTTGATAACATTCTATTCATAAATGTGAGGGAAAGTTGCAAATGGGAAACGTCCGAAGAAAACAATTGACTGACACCACCAGGATTGGAACCAGCGGTGACCCTCGCATATGGCCAGCGGTGCTCTGCCACTAAGCTATGGTGTAGTCGTCATCCAAGCAGCGACCGTTCTGAACATTTTCTTCCGAGACATCGAGACTCACGCCGCCTGTAAATCCACACAGGCGGGTGGGACGCAGCACTCACTGTAACCCACACACTTCACCTACAACTACAAACCACTGTAAGACCAGTAATGCTAACGAACATTTATTTCTAACGATTTAACGAATTTAAACAATTCGTTAACATTTGATGTCGTTATGTACAAAACGATACCTTAAATTCCGTTAATAAGCCCCGGGCGTATACTTTGCTCAGCGTCAAAAAACGGGCGTATATTGGGCATGGGCTTATTTTATGGCATGGGCGTTATTTCGGACGCAATTTGCAGAAGATCAATCTATCAGCAACCCACTAGTTTCAGTGAACCACCATTCACACTGAGCGCGGTACAGCTACATCAAATCACAGCTGGAAATTTGGTTGTAACCAAGAATGTAGCGATAAATTACAGATTTGATAGGTAAACCACTTGCTATGGTAAGTACAAGGCACAACAGGTACCGGCATGGCTGAAAACGTCGTGATGCTGAAGCAGGTAAGGCAGAAAACTAGATGACACTGAAATTAAAATTAAATTAAAGCTACATTCCAACGGAACATCGCTGTCCTCGCGCGCCGTGGCAGTGTTGAGTTCTGCACTGTGCTGCGTGCAGTTGGATGGTACGCACTCGATCTACAACTGCTCTACAGTTTGTACGCGAACGCACGCTCGCGCGCTGGTCATTTTGAGTCCACTTTACGCCCTGGGCTTATTTCGGGCATGGGCGCTAAAACGGACTTGAAGTATACACCGCCTAAAACTGGGCTTATTATCGGACATGGGCGTTATTTACGGAATTTCACGGTATGTACATGTACAGTCATTTGCCGGTTTTGAGACGGAATTCGTTAGAATTTCACCTCGTTAACCCACAAAATCCGGAGATCGTTAACTTTATTCGACGTTAAAATATCTGGTCTTACAGTAGCACGCGGGGAGCCCCAAAACATAAAATCTTCATTAGTTGGAGGGAAAGTTGCAAACGGGAAAAGTCTGAATTTCAAACAATAATTTCATTATTGGCCACATGAAACAAACTTCCTAAACGTCACAGCCAATGTCGTTATGATGTGTCGAGTGGATGGTCAATACCAATTTTTCTGTGAAACACGCGATTCGGCTCTTTGCATGATAATATTCATAATCAGAATATGAATATGAATATGAGGCGTTCACGTGTCTACTCGCTTCAGACGCGAACAAGGGTTACAATCATGTACATGTATGTGCCCATTTACCATGTTTACCCGTGCACCACACTCCACAGTCAGTTGAGTTGACACGCACCTGCCTGCACTCGGATTCCTCCAGGATGCGTTTCTCCTCCAGTACTGGCAGCACCGAGTCCAGCTTCAGGCCATCCAGCAGCACCAGCCTTTTGCGATTCAGCAACCTTCGGTGTTGCATATCCATTGCGGAGTAGCAGCCTGGTGAAAATTTCTTGCAAAAAACTAAGTTACTTCATCAAGAAAATAGCCGAGCACCGTGCGAATGTGTGCGCACGAAGTAAGTAAAGTTAGTTACTTCACCAGCTAGTTTCGCCAAGTCGATGGATGTTTCAGGTGTGTGGAGACTGTGGACTCGACTGTAGCTCCTCCATAGGCATAGATCTATGACTATGAGTATGAGGTCGCGAAGTGCAGGAGGATGGTATCAATGACCGGCAAGCTGGGTCCTGAGGATTGATAGTCCGGACACGACGATTACTACTACATGTAGTAATAGCACCACAGACTCAGTGTGTTGACAGTGCCCAGACTCAGTGATGAAGCGAGCAGAACATCTACCGGCACCAGTGCAGTACCACTCCAGAATGCATTCCTTGCCCGCCCTACCTTTTTCAAAGTTTTTGCGTCTGGGCACTGTTAGTGTTACTGTGTTAGTGCACTGAATATGTGAGCTCACTCACTGCCTGTCGCGCCCAGTTGATGCCAGTGTTTACGTACGTGGTGTCGTTGATAATGAAGTGCTTGCCTTCTCGATGTTGGTTGGAGAATCAGACACACAGCCTGAACCAGGGAGTCGTAAAAATTCCTATGGCTACTATTAGTATGGTATTTTACGACTCCCTGGCCTGAACCAGTGACATACTGATTGACGGACAGAACTGAATGTCTGTCAAGTGTCAGAAGTAGGCCAAGGCTTGCACGTGTACAATGTTGTATTGTTAGATTGACAGCATGAAACAAGGTGGAGGACACTGAGTCTGTCTGTGTTCGGAAACAGTGACCTTGTTTCATGCTGTCAATCTAACAATAATGTGTGAACTATCAAGGTTTATGTATATAATACTAATTTTGAACTAGTATTATTACATTTTATTATACCAAGTACAATGTAGTGACTGTCCGCTCTCTGTGCATGTGCATGCATGCGAGATGAACGACGTGGAGGAGTCTGTGCACAGATTCTGGGCTGGTTGCACTTGCAGCCAATGAAGTCAGTGACAGTGAGTTAGTAATAGTAGACTGTCGTGTGGCTGTCAATCATGTAGACTTGTAGTATCTTTCTTCTTCTTTCTCCGTCTACCATGGTCTACCAGGTCTACATGACTGTGCATCGTCTGCTGCTGCGAAAGGATTCGCCTGCTTTCTTGTTTCCATGCCGCGTTCCCATTTACATGACGTACGCTTCTGGTGCTCTCGTGGCATGTACAGTCGTCCCTCTCTAATCCGGCACTTTATAATCCAGCACCCTCGATAAACCAGCACAATTTTCAGTAGCCAAAATGTCCTCTTCATGCACATTGCAGCAGTAAATCAGATTTGTTAATCCAGCACCCTCCCTAATCCAGCAGATTTTCGTGGCACAAATGGTGCCGGATTATAGAGGGACCACTGTACATGTAATTGTTGGTGCTGAGACCAATGCCAATGGTCAGTGGAGCGCCTAGCGCCTCCAGACTCACCAACAGAGAAACACCGAATACAATGCCATAAGCGCGAAGGTCTTTCCCACTCAGACAACTGGTGGTTTGTAACATTCTCCCCACCAAAGGGCTTCTCACCGCCGTACAACAACTCACACAAGTCAAAAACGATCCGGGGCTCTGACTACGCGCCGCCAGAACGCGTCATCTCCTACTGCGGTGGTAGTGCCTAGTACTAGTAATAGTGGTAGTACTGGTGCTGACTCTTCAGAGTCAGACGCACCTTCCCACTGTTCTGGTACAGTAATGTCCCCCATTTTCCTAGGTGCAGCGCAGTGTTATGAACTAATTACTTATGAAGTAAAAAAAAACCCGCTTGCATGTGGACTTGATCGGAACCACCTTCATTTCACGTCTCCATGCAACCCACAAACAAGCTCTCAGCTGCACCATTTGTGCGCTCAACGAGCGATTTCGCTCGTTGAGTATACAGTGGCACTAACAAAATTGCAATTATCTCTTGTGTTCTTTCGCCGATTTTCATAAACAAAGCATCTACGTTTCGAGGGGAACCTTGGCTATCACGTCGAAGTTAGTTAACCGAAGTCTCTACGACGTACAATGCCGCCGTGGTGAGACTCGAGGTCGGAGGAAAACTGAAAAATTCACTCCGATCGAAAAATTCAAATTTTCACCTTAACTGCACTTGGCAAGGGTTTTCTCCGGAGTGCTACGTCATACTCAAGCATGCTGCACACCAAAATTTGCGCTTGAAACGAGCTTTCCGCTGTAGTTTGTTTGAAGTCGATGTAATGAAGGAGCATTGAATGGCGGCTGTTTGAACTGGAGCTGTTCGCGCACGGCTGCTGGTTTGAGCGGCATTCTAGGCCACGCAGAGCAGAGGCCGTGCAGGTAGCTGGCTTGAGTGTGGTATTAGTCGCTACGTCTTGGAAATACCTTTCCAGCGGTGTCAACTAACTTTGTAAAAATCGGTGAATGTTTGGCAGAGATACAAGCGAAAGTGCATGTTATTTGAAGGTGAGTAAATCGTCGTACTTTCAGTGGACTCGAGAGGGCAATGGGGCTGTTAAGTGATGACGTCACAGTTCCTTCGATACACATAGCAACGATCCCATTGGGGACAAACAAAAGACTTTTTTAAAGTAGTGTCGTCTCCACCAAACCAGTTGTCAGTGGCAACAATGCCAACATAGGAATCGTGTACATTTCTTCGTTTCTTCTTTGCTGTTTTCAGTGAGTGTTTTGTTTTCTCTTTGTCCTTGATCTCGACGGTGTTGTCGTGCTCATTACCTTACTGAGACGTCTCTTGTGACTGTAGCCAGTGTCACGGAGGATTTTATTGGCGTGACGAGGTAGATCGCTGAGATCGAGCGTGAAAAACGCTCTGCACTAGTAGCTCATGTAGAATGTCTTCTGGGATGGCGTATCCATGGTCAACAAAGCCAAGGTGCAAGACAGCATAAGAGATCGTGTAAACGATGTGAACTCCAAAAGGTAAGCTCCTGAACAAGTGGAAAGATATGTGTATTTAGTGTTTACAAACTCTCTCTTCATCCATCGATTGCCGCTATGCATTGCATTTTGTCTTCACAGATAATCTGGACAAATAAATTATATTGTAACTGGAGAGTGCAATCGTGATTGGGACCCATCCCAATGTCATCACATGGCTGTGGTGACTAGTGTATACCTGGGAGAGTTTTTCCTCAACTGAGATGGAGTGCACATGTACATGTAGGTGGATGGATTATGAGAAATGCGAAGATGTGGAGTAAGTTGTGTCGAAGAAATATGTAATAAAATAAAATTTACTTTACACTCAAACATACACTGTACATGTACATGTACATGTAACATCATGATAATGATTCCATCTTCATACATGTATCTCCGCAACAGGTACGCCATACGCACCGAATACATGGTGTCTGTGCACGCGCTTGCGTGCGTGCGTACATGCACACACTCTCATGCGTGGCCGAGTTGGCCGGATGAACAGACCACGCATTTGCACGAGGTGTCCGTCATGTCATCGGAATGCTGTACTTTATGACTTTATTCCAAAATAGTATGTCTTGCCCCTGTCAAATGGAGTTTGTGTCTATGCTCAGCGGGTATCGGGCCACGACGCCACACTGCAGGCAGCGCTGGAATTAAAATAGCACTTCATGGATTATTTTAACTAATTTCCTTTGCGTTCACTTTGTTGAGCCCGTGGTTTCATTTCTGTGTTCTGTTATGATTGGCCTCTGGAAATAATCGGAGTGGATGTAATTTTGTCATATGTGTGTGCCTTGTGCAACAGGTTCAAGGCTAGATGCACTTCACATTCGGCGTGCGATCTCGGCGTCTGGGCCTGATAACGTCTTGGTTGGATGGGTAATCAAGGATGATGCTACTGGGCACACCAATGTACATGTCAATGTAATTTTTACTTTTTCAGAGCTGCACTATTTACGTCTCGATGCTTACTACGGTGCTAGCGTGTTTCCCCTGGATTATTTCTTTCATCATGCGTGTTCTTGGGCTGAGCAAGCAAATGCATGAGTGTGCAGCTATAACCCTGTGTATCTTTGGTTTCACTTTGTTCTGCAATGCATGTACATGTTGTACCTTGTAAGTTGTAACCATGGTAGCAGTACTGATGTGCTTGCACTGCTTCGTGTGGCCTGCGTATTTCAGGACTATTCAGTGCATTAGACCCAGGTTGGTTTGGTTGCCGGATGATCTCTTGTTGCGTCGCTCTGTGTTTTGTATTCATCATTTTTTTGGGCTTGAGCTGGTGTGCGACTTTGTACATGATGTACCTCACTACAACTTACAGTGCGTTTTTTTATAATAGACTCTGAAAACCTTGAGAACGTACTCAAGGACACTTTTGAGAAAATGTCATGCGAGTTGCGTCACGAAAATCTGCGCGCGAAATTCGAAAAACCAGGTGCGACTCGTGGCATTTCGCCATCTTGTTCAGAGTGTCCTTCGAGCTCCTTGCCTCGTGGCCGGAGGAATCATTTTGTTGCTGACTGCACTGCTCTGTGGCCCTATTTTGCTTTTTCTCGAGTGTCTTTTCGTTCGTGGCAACTTGTTCTCTTGACATGCCACATAATTATAACAAAACGCGAACGGGCCATGGTACATGGTGGTGTCTGTTTTACAATTTTTTGCGAAGACGAGGAGAACAATGGCTGGGCATCGAATTGGTCCCAAGTATTCCATTCGTCATGCTGCTGTTGCGTGTGGCGTCAGCATTTCCACCATGAACAGATGAACCAGGGATGCTGACGGCGAAAATCAGCGTGCTGCGTTGGCCAGTGATGAAGGCAACGAGAGTGACAATCCCCGATGTGAGACTCGTGCCATGAAACCACTCAACCCTGACGGATTTGCTTTGGACTGTATAAGAAGTAATTTACGGATTCTATGCTGCGAAGGAGGACCCAACACTGGACAAAGTTCCTGCTCGCTGCAGAGAAAGCATCGACGATTTTCCAGACATGAGCAAAACTAGCTCTTGGGAAAATGTTGCGTTCCATGGGATTCCAGTGTGGCAAGACCAGAGGTATCACACAAATAATGATGGAACAGCACAGGATTGTGTCATGGCGGCATCGCTACCTGTGAGACATACCTGGATGAGACGTGGGTCAATGCGCGTCACACAGTTACCAGGAGGTGGTACGACAATGGTGACAGGAGTGTATAGGCAAGCAACCAAATGAAGCACCATCAGGTAAAGGCAAGCGCGTTATTGTTCTGCATACTGGTGGACGGGACAGATTCGTGAAAAACTGCGCCGATGTGTTCGTGACTGGAGGCCGGCGCCAACGATGATATACGTCGTCGGCTGTCCGAGCACATCTGTTCACTGTGTAATACTGTCGTCACAAGTGCAACACAAAACACGGAATTATTGGGGCCGTTTCGTTCCTCGCTGGTCTTCTACTATTCGCACATGTTGACCCAGACAAAACTGTGACTTATTTGCATTGTGTGTGTGTGTGTGTGTGTGTTTGTGTGTTTGTAAAACTGCTCATGCTTCCTTTTTGTTAGTCTCTTTATGGGAGCTGTGTGAATTGCCTTTGTGATTTGTTGTGGTGTTTGAATTTTCACTGCATTCTTTCAGGGATCGAGGGAAGTTTCCTACATGCATGCTGGAATGTTTTGATTTATTGAGCTAATTGCAATGCAGGATTTGAATTATTCAGTACAGTTTGCCACAATAAGTCGTGAAAAGCCACGACTCACTGGTTTCCTACAACGGTTAGGAGAATTGCAGACAGCAGTGCACAACTGCACAGCCATGTGCATGTACATGTACATGCATGCGCTGTACTACAGTATACCTAAAAAGAAAAAAAAGAATCAAGATGAACTGTACTGGATTCGAACTCATGCCGGGCACCATGCAAGTGATGGGCTTTCCTGGCTAAAACTTCCGTTTTAAAAATCAAAATCCACTGAAAACCATTTAAAACCGGATTTCTAGCCGAAACCCGGCCGAATATCTAACTTTGACAATTATTATTATTCCCACTCCCAAACTTAATTTTCTTCGATCCAACACCCACACAAACGTAGCTGTGAAGAAAAAATTTCAAATTTGGAATGAGAACAAACTAAAAAATCAAAATCGACAATGGTCTGTTATAAAAAAACGCACTGTAGTACAAGTCAAGTGCTCTGGCAGGCGGCAATCGGGGGGAATCCCCATGAAGAACACATCCAAGTCCACCAAAACCATGAAAACCTCGCCTATGTAGTCTTTTTTTTTGTAGATAGACTGCTACTAGTACTAGCTGTAGCTCGCGAGCTCAGCTCGACCTCTGCAACCGCAACTGAGAAACAGTTCCTGTTACGTCACGTAACCTGTCGTTGCAGCATTCATGACCACGTGATATGAAGCCATCTGGCGCGGCATGGCGTGGTGTGGACGTGGGCATATGCAAGGGGAAACCCGCAGGTACTAGGTGAACCCCATCCTAGCCAAAGAAATGCACCCGGGGTACCCGACCGTACATCATACATGGCCTGGCCATGGCGCGCACGTGGGTCAGCTCTTATTATTTTTATAATCTAGATATCTGTCACCGGTGCACGGCGCCAGCGAGCTGCTTTGCTTCAAAAAGAATGATTATGTATGCCACATGTTCGTACTTTTGAACCTGGATTCCCGATGATTTCCTCAAATGAGTGTTTCTTCATGGCTTTTCGTTCATCATGCAATGCCCAGCAGCTACTTCTTTAGGCAACGTGTTGTGCAGCGAACCAGGCGATGCTGCTTGCTCGTAACGACACAGCGCAAGAGCTCCCGAAAGTTCGGCCGATTCAGCGGCTTCAGCAGTTTCCACTTTGAACCTGGATAAAATAGCAGCAGCGCTGTGTGTGAGGTTGTGCAAGTACTACTTGAAGTAGCTCATCCATTTACCTGAAATACAATGTAGATCTAGGTGTAGTACTACTAGTGGATTTGAGGTAAAACCAATGAAATCTGCTTGATGCAAAGAGGGACGATGGCGTAATATAACTCCGGTAAAGTCAGCCTGAACTCTACGCGGTTAGCGCAGCAGCAGCAGTATGGCAGAAGCTGAGCCAAGCAGCTCGAGCGTCCTGCTCTCCGTTCTGCTCGAGGACAATTCCGACGCTCTGTCTTCGGCGCTAGCGGCAAATCCTGGTGAAATTCTCGAGGCGCTGCAGTTGGCCAATGTACTTGAGGTAGCAGAGTGCCAACGTCTTTGCGGCGCTGCAGAGCTCGAAATGGTAAGCGGCGGTAAAATCCGGACGATCGACCGCAAATCAAGAGTCGATCCATACCCCCATGGCCATATCGAGACATACGTGTACTCATTCAGTCATACACAATCAAAGGAAAACACTTGAGCCAGACTGGACGGGAGGTGTAACTAAGTAATTAGTTACTACAGCCATGTACTAGTACTAATACATGGCTGTAGTTTTTATGTACCGTATATTCCGGAGTATAAGCCCCCCCCCCCCCCCCCTCTTTTTGCCACGAAATACAGGCATCTATCCTGTTTATCACAGGTAATTTGATCATCGGAGTGTAAGCCGCATCCACCTTTTCGAGGGTGAATTTGGTACAGTCTAGAACAGGATTCACCATAACAGCGCATTTGATTGGGACTGTACCTGTTCTGGGTCGGCCAGAACATGTTCTGCTTGCTCCGGCCTCGAGCCCGGAGCAAACCGAACAGTTTCACTTTTTCACCGTGAAACCTGATGGGAACATCAACTTTGGCCCCGAATGGTCACGTGCATACGCTTTTGAGTTGAACTTGGCATGCAATCGTTGTATGTGCACTGTTTCTGGAGTACCGTTTGGTTGGCATGAGGCTGTTCCATGTGCACTAGCCGTTCGATCCTATTCTAGATGTACCATCCAAACACACCGTTAAAGTCTAGGTGTTTTGCACCCTTCCTGCCATGGTGTATCGGTTAGTACTGCTTTTCACACGGGTACTGGTAGATTTTCTACCCCGCTGCACTGCTGGTGCTGATGGCGTGTTTCTTCATGGCTTGACCCGGCATAATGGTGCTAACTGACGGTGCTAACTTACTATAAATTTCACACATACACGCTCTTTAACACAGCCACATGTACCTGCATACAGTGTGATAGGTCCGCCCAGAAGAATATTGATTTCTCTGCTGGGATGACGGCTACACCATAGCTCAGTGGTTAGAGCATCGCTGGCTACAAGCCAGGTTCCCTGGTTCGTGTCCTGGTGGTGACAGTCAATTTTTTCTTCAGACTTTTCCCGTTTGCGCCTTTCCCTCAAACCAGTGAAAATAGTTATTCTAGCAATCAATGCTGTTTGATGAACGCCCTTCACTCAAAACTTGACGTTAGAGCACAAGCAGCTTCTCCCCTTCTTTATTTCCGTAATTGTACGCTATTTGGGCAGAGTAGAGGTGATCACAGAGAGCCCAAAGTTTCAACAGCGCAGAGCACTTCGCGTGCACACAGCAGGAATCTTGTCCCGACTGCAACGCATCTATCCCCTCCATTACCTGGCCTCGCTCAGGATTGAAGAGTTGCTGCTTCATAAAAGCCTCCTCCATGCGGTGTATGGATATGTAAACTACTGTAGCATGGCCGATTTTAGCGGGTACATTTTATTGAGTTTTCTGAATCTGGAACAATTCGTGATGAATTATTGTGGCGATCCGAGTTTCACTGTAAAAAAAACAAAGATGATTAGTGCTGTACATGCAGAATTTTAATTAGTGCTGCAAAACTTTAGCAAAAGCATTGCTTTCGCTAAAACCCTCAACAAATCTTGCTGGTGCTAAAATTAGCCGTTTATCAGTATGCGAAATGTTATTTACTCTGTCCCCTGAACAGCTTGATCATCTGTTGGATGTCATTCCACTGAGTGATTCTGAAAGATGGAGGGCAGCACTCTCTGTTATCAGGGACCAGAGTCGAGCCAATGGAGTTGTCCAGTTTACTGAAAGCATGGAGAAATTCCTTACAAGTGATGGAGACAATTGCAATGGTGAGTTCCATAAGTCAGAACCGCTCTCGCTTTTCATCATCAATGAGTCTAAAGTGGAACTTTAAATATTTTCGGGGAGTGCAGCATGGAATCTGAGATGTACTTGGTATGTTACGTAGCTTCCTTTATTTAGCGAATTCCACACATTGAACACCATAAGCCACTCAGGATAAGTTAGATCCCATCCACACATTGAACACCATAAGCCACTCAGGATAAGGTAGATCCCATCCACACATTGAACACCATAAGCCACTCAGGATAAGTTAGATCCCATCCACACATTGAACACCATAAGCCACTCAGGATAAGTTAGATCCCATCCACACATTGAACACAACAAGCCACTCAGGATAAGTTAGATCCCATCCGCACATTGAACACCATAAGCCACTCAGGATAAGTTTGATCCCATTTTCAGTCAGCTGCCTGAAGATCGCAAAAGGCGAGACGCTCTGAGTTGCAGCTAATGCCGATGTGTGCTTTGACTACTCTGCGTGTGAAGGCTCCGCGTCCAGCATATTGACCACCGTTCCAGTAGCTATTGCTGCTCATCTCTTTGCAGCGAATTAGTTGTGGACATAACGTTACATGTAGCACCATAACTTGGTTCCCTATCCAGTATGAACTCCTCTTCCAACAGTGCCCCGATCCGACATGCCTTTAAAAAAAAAAAAAATGTTTAGAGTCGTAGTCGGAACCCGTGCCTTCCCTTTCGGCAAGATTAGGTTATGGCCAGGGTGTGTGCAATATGCCAGGTTTTCTCATCTGAGAAAGCATACTAGGATATCAATTGAACTCAGGGGCGTCGGACACGGTACGGTCACTATGGTATATTGACCGTACCACTTTTTACCCCAGGTACCCTGTGAATCAACAAAAAAAACTGATCTGGGATCTAAATTTCGAATATTATCGGCTCAGCAACCCTCTTCCCCTCGAGTAAATTGTACTTCAGATGGCTGACCGTACCACACTAAAATATCTTCCCACCCCCCTGGAACTTGTCCATGGGTACTCTGTGCAGGAAAAATTTCAAGAGTCACACCACCAGAGCAACATACCAACCAGGCTGAGGTTTGTGACGATGTTACTCCGCCATCTGATACTGGGGATACGCCACAGCGCCCTGGGCACAGGAAACCGCCTTCTGCAGCTGTCGCTATCGCCCCAAAGCCTGCCAGGAAGTCATCGGTGCGGGATCGGGACTCTGGGTTGCCTAGAACAGGCTCCCATTCTTCTATGGAACCCTACCTTGTTGGCAACGTTCTCCACTTGCCAGCTTCAGCCGAAAAGAGAAGTAGTAAGTTTTCAGTAAGTTAGTTTTGCGATTGAAATTATGTTGTCCCATGCTCCTGGCATTGTTCCCTGTTCATGTGGCTGAATGAGGCGTTGCACGCTACGATTAACACAGAAAGGCCACACTTGCGTGTGTGCGCGCGAGCGCGAGCGCGCGCGTGCACACCCACATGCACGATAACAGAAACACACACACACGCACATGCACACACATGCACACACACACACACACACACACACAGACACACACACACACACACATACACACACACATGCACACACACACACACACACACACACACACACACACACACACACACACACACACACACACACACAATGCACAGTAAAACCTGTAACCTCGTATTGGTAATTTGTCTGTACAAACATTCAATTTCAGGCTTCTACAGTTGTGTTTGTATGCACAGATATACTCCATAAACGCGTACCGGCGCTTTAAATCTGTCTATTTTTGTGTATCCTTTGCTCAGGATAAGTTGTAGATTTTTCTTCTTTGTGTTTTGTGTAGTTGCGTGGCCCAGAATGTTTGGCACTAGCAGTGGTGCCGTTGAACAACGCAGTCACAACAGGTCAGTTGAGGACATTCCGGAATCGTGCGATTCGGGCCGTGTGTCGGTGTTTGACGATGACCTGGACCAAACGGACGGATCGCTGCCGCAGAGAGACGTCTGTTACTCTTGGATCTCGATCGACAAAACACTTCTCTACCAACGGAAAGATAAATCTCTTCCTGAGACCACCTGGATGCTGGAATGCGACAGTGTCACTGCTGGTGATATCAAAGGTAACTTCTGATGTTTTTTTCTCATCATACCAATCATGTCGTACTCCATGAGGTGTGTTGTAAGAATGCATCTGCGGTCACATGATGTAATCTGGCCTGGTGACTACGTATGCGTCAGGTACTACACACTCTTGGGTGGGGGGAGTCTTGGCACTACGGACAATGGGTAGGACCCTGGCGTAGGCTGCAGACCATAGACTGAAAAATTAATGTTGTTAAGCCGGATATGACCTGGGACAACCGTTGCAGTCTGAGCAATCGTGTTCGGGATAGGATTGTTAATTTCAGGTGAATAGTTAGACGGTAGAGACTGTAGAAAGGCCTTGACGGAGCCTGTGTTCCACTTCTGGAGGGTTTTATTGACGACTATTCAAAGGAAGGAAGACATGTTTGAATTGTATTCGTTCTTTCTGGCTGTTTGCGTTTTGTCGCTGACCAATCGTAAAGAACTGTACGGACAGCTTGGAACTAGTGTCAAGCTCACCGCTACGCTCCAGGGACCAAGCGCCAGCAGGCCACGTGCTCTGGCAGGTACGGAGGGCGACATCGTGGAAGTGTTTGACCGGCCGTCCGACACAACGTACCTGGTAAAGCATACCGTGACTGGGCACATCGGCTTAGTTGATGTAGACCATGTGTCAACAACGGGCAAGATCACATTCCCCAAAGGTAAACATAAATGCCGTTGTGCTTTTGTGCCTGTGGTATGAATCAAATTGTGGCATCAATCTAAGCCTTCAATAAAACTGGCGCCCACAATATACCGTATAAAATATACATGCCATGTCAATTGCAATATCAGAATCACCTTCTCTGACGAGCCTTTGATAGGAGGATCAGGTGTCAGAAGGAAATATTTTACTGGTGTGAGTAATGGCTACCGAGGGTAGTAATGGTCGGCTTTAGAACGCATGCAGGAGGAGAGTTATTTTGTTGAGTCCAAACCTTGTTGGAATAAATGTGTGGTGTTAGGTGATGTCATTGCACGTATGCAGATGAATGTGTTCATCCCACCAAACTCCGTGGAAGGAAGATTGTTAAAGATGTATTTGTATTCAGCAGCTGAAATCCTGCTATACATCGGATTGATCAACCTCGTGCTTTTGTGTGGCTGTATTTGTGTATGTGTGTGTGTTTTTGTGTTTGTGCGTGTGTGCACTTTGTGCATGCGTGTGAAATTGTGCACATGAGTATGTGTGTGTGTGTGTGTGTGTGTGTACGTCATTTGGGTGCTTTGCGCAATCCATGTATTTTTTGTAGAATCATCAGCTGAACTCATCAAGCGATTTGAAATGGTAAGATACAATGAATTTTGTAAGGAAGTTACAGCGTAATAATATTTGTAAATTTGTAACAAACAAATCAGCGATGCTGTAGTCGCTCGACTGCGTGTGTTCATAATTGTTCTGAGAGTCAATTTTGGTATGGTTAGACGAGAAGGCAGAAATGCCTGTGTTACAGTATATGTGGTGAAATAGATATGAACAAACAAACAAACAAATTGTGCTCTATGCAGATAGAACTTGCAACACATGGTTTGAAATTAAAGTGAAACCTCGCTTTACGACCACCTCACCAAACCGACCACTATTGTGTTGGCCCGAATTTTCCTCCATACTAAACCGTGCCTACAAGAGAGGCAGTGTCAGACATCAGACTTCCTCAGGAGCCGTACCATTTTTCCCAGTCAGAAAAGCGGTCGGAATTCCGAGGTTCCATTGCAGTTGCAATCCAAGTTTCCTGGCACTAAAGGGGCGTCCGTAAAATTTGAAAAATAGAAATCTGGATAGTGGAAACTCGTGCCACTATTAATATTGTTCGAAGTCTGCAGAAAGTACTGAACGGTGTCCGTTTGCATGGCGACTGCATCATAGTCTCGTGGTAGAACATCACTAGCCTATAGCAAACGTCCCTGGTTTGAGTCCCAGTAGTGACAGTCGAGTTTTTCTTCGGACTTTTTCCCTTTCCTTTTCCCTTTCCACACCATCCGCGGCAAACTGCTGCTTTGCATGTCATGATTGGAAGCTTTGGCCTTAGTAAAAAAAATAAATAAAAAATAAATAAAGAAATATTTAATAGCTGAAAGAAACACTTGGATCTCTTGATGGGTTTTATCTACTCACCTCTCATTGTGTTAGCAGCTGCAGCCGCATCTTGATCCATAATTGAGGGCATTGGTATTCCTATGGGTGCAGCAAACTCGGTCTGACTGAGTCTCATGGAATTGTTTTGGAATACTTCAAGTGTGTTCAGTTCATGACTAGGAAGTATTGAGTAAAGGTTGCATATCGTCGTTGCATTGCTTGATTCGTCACAGCTTTTTCGTCACAGCTTAAAAGCTGTTCGGCGCTACTATATCATATTTCTGCTGGATATTTTCTTGGTGTGTTTGCGCAGGAGAATCATTCCGTGGATGTCTCGGTTGTAGCCTTGTGGGAGAAGTTCATCTCCAGCTTGCACACCGGCCTCATGGGACCGCCGAAAGATGCCAGCAAGCACGCAGCGCCTCTGGGATCATTCAAGCCGATCGCTGGGTTGCGCTACCGGATCATGCGAGATCGTACACTGGCCAGTATCTGCTACACGGCCAGCCTGCTCTTGACCCAGTGCTGGAGCAAGATGAGTCATCAAATGACTAATCGCGCCGACGCTGATATCTGCAACAGTGCTATGGACTTTCTGCTGCTGGGCCTGTCACTGCTGGTCAGTCTGGCGAATCGACATGACTTCTCAACATTGCGCTGTACCGATGAATACAGGTTGTTTATGGCGCGTCTCAACAACTTCTGCCTGTGCCATTGGCGCCAAGATACTGCGAACTATTTCAAGGAACGGCAACGATTGCTGGAGCAGTTTTCCAAGTCTCTGCCGCGTGGCTCTGGAGCGATGCGAGATGTTATCAGCACGCTCGTAATGGCCACTAACATGCAGTGCGTCTACACAGTGTTCGCCCTGGTGATCATTGATGGTTGCGTGCGCAGCAAATCCTCCACAAACACTGCACACACTCAACTGGCCTGGAGGCATGTTGCCGAGTCGCTGCATTGGCGGGAGCCAAGTTTGCGAAAGAGCGTCTTTCTCGATCTGTTCAGCTCTGATCTAGAGCTGGGACTCTACCAAGGGTTCTCCTTTGTTCTTCCTATCGTCGAGCTGTGCAGGAAGTTGTTCGATTCTGAGCTGATGGCTAATGTAGTTGGCTTAGTAGGTGAAGTATCCATCTCGCCGTTTGTTGACTATGCCAGCGACGCATTGTCAGTGTGGAGATTGGCGTCATTCAGCAGGTCGGGGAAAGTCGGCGAGAGTGTTCGGCTGCTATTGGAGGACACATTGTTTCCTGAAATGGATGACTTCCTCCCGTTTGTAGTATCAGCAGCTGCCTACTACCTGAAAGCAGCTACCTTGGCACACATGATGCGTGGTTTCAAGGAAGCATCGACCATGTATGATGTGATCCTGCACACAGCGGACCTTAGACGTGAACAAGGACTGCAAACAATCATGCAGTTTGTCCTGGACGAAGTTCAGCGTGAGCACCAGTCTCTCTCCTACCTAAATAATGTTCTAGCCGGAATGCGGTCCGATGATCCAATGGAAAGGGAGCTGTTTGCTGGTGTCGCAAGCCTGCTGCTCAGTGGCAAAGTAGAGGTCAAATATTATGCCCCTGATAATGTGGAAGAACTGATGGACACCGTTGCAGGTATCTGTGACCATCTCAGTATGCATCAACTCAGGAACTATGTCGTTGCTGATAACCTGGAGTCTGCCATCATGTCCATTCACCGCATCTGCGGCAGCAGCGCCACTATTACTGCTGGAGTTATCAAGCGCTCGGCTAAGCTGCGTGAATGCCGTGCCAAGCCGTCTCCACACGGTTCCCGTCGCATGTCACGTGATTTCTCCATCGGCTACTCGGAAGCAGCTGTCTACATGAACCAGTGCTGTGTGGTTCTGAATGAGCTTTGTGATGACGCTGCATGCCTCGATTCCAACGGGCCTCAGATGATCTTCTGGCTGTGGCTGTCGTCAAAGATTGTGACGCAGTGGAATGCGTACGAGCTGAAGGAAGCCTTCAATCCCCTATTGGAGCTTGCCTCACACCTACCAGACTTTGCTGAAGTGCAGAAGCAGCACCCACTGTCTATCGTCCTGCAGGCCATCCTCTACTCCAAGTTCTTGGGTAGCCTGAAAGTGTCCCTGTCACCTCCAAATTACCTGGCCCTGAAGGAGAGTCCCACTGTTTGCCAGTTGCTTGGACTGTGCGAGGATGCATTGACTAAGTGGCACGAAGTCAACGCTGGTTTGAGCCCGAAAGACTTATTCGAAGGCTATTATCAGCTAGTGGACAATGCACAGAACGTGAGAAGGCGCCTGACAGCTGACCAATACACGCTTGAAGAATGCTCTACGTATCTAACCTTCAAGGAGAACCTGAATCAGCTCTTGAGCCATCTTCAGCTGGAAGCCGTAGCAGACCTAACTGGCTGGAGGGATGCCAGCAAGAAACTACACACATTCAAGTCTCTCCTGCACTGGCTCGTAGCAAAGGAGATCAACGGAGCGCGCACCTCGTGTGCTCGTATCACACACCTGTCTGAGAACCGGCAAGTCAATCTCTGTGATGTCAACAGTGAGCTAGCCAAGACTGAAGCCCTGTACTACAAGCGCCTTGACTTCAAAGTCGACGGCGCGGTCGCCATGAAAGCACACGAGTTTGTGGCGTCCACTGTTTCAAGAAGTATGATATGCCGCCATTTTGAGCGCTACTCTCAGACCCGAAGTAGCTACGGCAGCTCTCCACCGCTGGAACGCCGAGTGAAGTCCGTTCATCGTGAGTTGAAAACACTGTTGCATCCAGAGGCTCACTTTGGAAGAGTGGGTGCCGTCATCGGTTCAGTGTTCAAGGGCTGGAACGAGCCAGCCGCCGCTATTCTCCCAGCTATTGAGGCGGAAATGCGGCTGCTTCAAAGCTGCGAGCTCCTGCACGCTGAACGCAATGCGATTGACCATCTGCAGCGCATCTGCCTCTGCAGTTGTGCCCGGGAGCAAGGCGTCGTCAAGGGTTTGCTGCGCTTTAAGGTGGCGTCCAACACTGGAGAGCTCCATGATTTCCTGGTTGAAAACAGTCGCCGATTTGACAGGGATTGCTCTTTGGCCACGGCTGACCGTAACTCAACGTGTTTGTACCAAGTCATCAAGGATTTCAAGCCATGGCAGTGGGACTTCTTTGTGCGCTATGGCAAGCACGAGTACGACGATTTATTCATCTTCTACAACGACGCGTTTGAGCATCATGAGAACTTTGAGCTGAAACTGGCGTTGGTGAACTCAAGCCTTGAGGATCCATATCAAGCTGGTTTGGTCAACAGTTTCAAGTCACTGCAGCCCATCATGGAGCAGTTCTTCAAAGGTGGCAGATCACTGGAAGCCATTATTGACTGCCTGCGATCGCCGGCCATTCAAGACGTAAACTTTGATGATGCTGTGAAGAACCTGCCAATGGTCAGTTCGCTGCTGAAGAGCGTCATGGAGAGCTACTTTGACACGGTTCAGAAGTATCGCGATGCATTGCTTGCCGACTCGGCGTTTGCATCAATCAACCTGGAAGGTGATCGGCTGACGTATTGTTGTGAAATTGAGCTAGACAATGACCTCACCACCTCTGGCACCAAGAAAAAGAAGTTGCTAGAGATGGAGGAACTCAATGAGCTGCAGCTATGGTTGCCGTACTTCTACCCGCAAGGTGAATGCGGAGATGAGGAGAGTCCCGTTGTCAACTTGGCTAATTGTCTTTCTCTTCTCAGCACAGTGTATGAGACTGCCAGGCGCCTGCAGGAAAACGGGCACTTTCAGTACCTGCACCGTCTTTGTGGAGTGGAGTGCTCACCTTTTCGGCTGCGCCTCGACAAGGTGAAGCAACTGTTGCAGCAGTCGGAGCTTGCTGTACGTCAATGGCAGTCCAAACTCACCGATCTGCGCACGAGTTGCCCTGTACTGCACCAGTTCTCAGATCGTGACATTGGCCACATGCTGCAGCTTGTGCTGGACGTCATGATGGGAGAGGAAACCATGACCAATGCCTCGGTCCTCTATTCGTACGTACTGACGCTGCGTTCGTTCGCCACGGTATCCATCACACTCACACCAGGTAAAGTCGCCAATGACATTCTCATGGCAACCAGCTTCAGTGCAGCGCAGAACCTGGTTCGAATCTTTTCAGCACCCAATGCAGTCAAGGAGCACAAGACAACGGTTGCTCATCCGAACAAGCAGTACATGCTTGCTGTTGATGGGTGCCTGGCACCACACAACTTTCCAACGGCACTGCTCACTGCTATTGTCAGACAACTTGGCACGGTGCGCTTCTGTCGCACCCAGTTTCTTTTCTGCGACAGTTCGACTACGGAAAGCGCTTTGAACTGTTTCTTCAACGCTGTGACCCTGTCTCCAGACCAGCACTTTGTTGTCTGCCAACCGGAGAGCCTCTCACCGCATTGCCAAGCACTGCTACTAACACTGCAGATGAAGGTGAAGATGAGGCCAGTTGGCTGTCAGGTTCATTTCATCACCTGCGATAAGCCTCTCTTCGACACGTGGCCAGATCAAGGCTTCCTGGTGAAGAAGTTACTCGACCCACTGGGCTTTAGCGAGCTTTATGAGAACTACCATAAGCTCAATCGCATTGCAGCCTTCTCCCGGCCCAATGTGACAGCTGTCTCTGGAGGAGCTGGTGACGGAAAATCTCATTATATTCGCCGGCGTCGCTCTGATCTGGTGGTTGTTGACATTGCTGACTTCTCTGACACCAGTCAATTTTGCCGAATGCTCATGAAGGCATATTATCAGGACGAGTGTCGATCCATGCACATCAGACTGGGAATTAAGGCAAACTTGGCTGACGTGAACCGAATCTTCTTCGAGCTCTTCTGGCTGGGTGTGCTGCGTGCTCCGTGCGGAGAACAGATATTTGGCTTTCAATCGCATGTTCATCACCCGTGGGACTGGTACGTGGAAATACCCGATGATCCTGAGCTGACGGAAGATGGCAGTGCTCTTGACCTGGAGAGAGATTTGCCATTTCTGACGACAGTGTCCACAGAGATAATCCATCACGACAAGTCCATGAGCCATGATGCAGATGAAGAGAGCTTGGAGATTGATGCCGAGATGCGTTGGGTTGCGGGTCATTTGAAATGCCTTTTCGGCAACAAGCAGCATATGGCCGGTCATCGCCATGAGAGATGCCACAATGACAAAGAATGCAGGCTTGCATATCACTTGGTCATGCAAGACGCTTGCAAGCACTGGAAGCTGCTGAATGACATGTCGGCGTCTAGCAGTTGGGTAGGGAGTTCGTCCATGACTGAGGCTGCACCGATCAGCAAAGCCCAGGAGATGTTGGTCTATCGATATATCTGTCGAAAATGGACCACAACATTGACCCGTGAATTTGACGAGCGCTGCAAAGAAGACCGAGTGCTCTGGTTTGATGTCTTGCGACACATTGTACAGGAGGCAAGCTACGTGTGTCGGCCCAGGCTGCCATTTGTTCTCAGTGAGTTCAGATTCCCGGTACTGATTTCAAGCACACTGGAACTCATTTCTTCTCAGTCCGGTCGTGAGATGAAGGAGGCGTCCGAGGGAATGCTGGAAGGATGCCTACCACCGGCACGGCGAAGGTTTGTGGACACCGGAAGTACCGGCGGCAAGAAGGAAGGTCTAGTCAAGTTGCTGGCAAGCACGTTCAAGATTTCAGAAGATGATGTGCGCCTGGTGGTACGCCGTCGCAAGTTTGTCCTCACCGAGGACTTTGCATTCAAGTTGGTGTTGATCCACGAGCGACGTGATCTTCGACAGCCGTTGATCCTGGAAGGGGATACTGGAACAGGAAAGACTTACTTGCTGAAGCTCTATGCATCACTTCTGACGCAAGCTGTGTCCGTTCATCTTGTTCCTCTGACTCTCAGCTGGCTCCGGAAGGTCATCTTTGGTGAGAACTGGAGCAACATGAACTCGCAGGGCCGCAGGACCTTCCCCAAAACGGCTGGCGCAAGTGCTAGCACCAGCAGCGGTGAAATCCAGTACCCTGAGGATGGTGACTTTAGCAACTTCACAACCGAGGATGTGCTGAGCATCTGGGACCGGCTACTTCTGGCTCTGCCACCGGACTCGGCAAGGAGGGTGAAAGTGGAGTTGCAGGATGTGATCAAGTTCTGGAAAAACGCATATCCTGTCCTCAAGCCAGTCGCAACTACGGTGGAACAGTATGTCGAGAAAGTGATTTCCAACAGGGAAAGCAGACAACTCCTAAAGTCGTGGCTAGAAACAAAGAACAAACGCATGTTCTACAAAGTCTTAGTGCATCCTGGCCTGACGAAGAAGAGCATCATAACAATCGTGGACAAAGCGTCTCAAACAGCCCGCAGCACTAAGCAAGCTGTTGTGGTGTTCTTTGACGAAGTCAACACGTCAAGCTGCCTGGATCTCTTCAAGGAGATGTTTATTGAGAACACTATTGGTGGCAAGAAGGACCTCTGCTCTAGGTCTGTGTTCTTCATCTCTGCGTGCAACCCGAAAGTGACAGAGACAAATTACTTTCAACTTCGTCGGGTAATGGAGGAAGGATTCGAACTGACATATGATGTGCTTCAGTTGCCAAAGTCATTGCAACTTTACGTCTGGAAGTATGAAACCCTGGTCGGAGAAAAAGAACTTGAAGACTATACTGCTGACAAGATTCGGTTTCTGAGGGGCCATCCGATGTTGAAAGAACTGAAGCTGCAGGAGGAATTTTCAGAAAGCGTTTTGGATTTGCTGAGTAAAATGCTATTCCATGCGTACCAGTACAGTCGCATTAAGATCAGGCCCAGCTTTACCAGTCAACGTGATGTACAGCGTGTCTTCCGGCTGATACCATTCTTCTGGAAGGTGGAGGTCTTCAAGATCACTCAGGATGGATATCAATCCTCAGTGCAAGCTCTGCCAGACAAGGTCCTGCAGCGCTGTATCCTTCTCTCGGTGGCAGTCGTCTTCTATCTCCGGCTTCCAGTTGAACCATGTGCCAGGTACAATGGAGCCTGTCGTGCCGATCTTGATGCGTATATCAGTGATAATGTGAAAAACAAGGAACTTGGAAAGGCTCCCCTTGCAACTGTATTGGAACAATGCATCCGAGAATTTGTCAATGAGGATAACTTCAAGATTCCGTCTGGTGTGGCACTAACAGATGCCCTGAAGGAGAACATATTTTGCATTGTTGCCTGCATTCAGACGAAGATACCACTGGGAATAATCGGTGAGCCTGGCTGTTCCAAGACACTCAGCTTTCACATAGTTCGGGACAATCTGACTGGCGATCATGCATCTCAGCTGTTTTGCCGGCAGTTCACGTCGGTGGACCCGTTTTTCTGCCAATGCTCACCGGAGACGACGACAGGCCAGATTGAGACCGTGTTTGAGAACGCGCTGACACGACAAGGTCTGTACCTGAAGACGGACAGTTCCAGATCACCACACGTTTCCGGCAGCTCTCGGCCGTCATCTGATGATGATGAGGAGACCACTCAGATTCAGCGCTTCTGCCAGGCAACGGTGTTCATGGATGAAGCGGGTTTGCCGGGCTACGAAAAGAACCGCTCCGTGATGAAAGTACTGCACCAGTACCTTGACGAGCCGGAGGTGGCATTCATTGCCCTGTCCAACCGTTGGTTTGATGCAGCCAACACCAATCGCATGGTCACACTGCTCCGATCACCATCGTCAGCCAGTGAGCTGAACTCTCTTGCGAAGGGAGTTGCTATGTTTGCTCACCCCGGCGATGATTTGGTTCAGCTCAGCTCTGAAGCAGAGGACCTACTACAGGGTATTTGTGCAGGCTATGAGTCCGTGATCAAGCGCCACGAGAAGTTTTTCCATCAGCGAGACCTTATTTCTCTGGTCCGGTGTTTACGACGTCGGAAACTGCTAGATAAGCCAACCGAAGCTATCGAAGAGGCCCTGCGTCGTTCAATTGAAGAGAACTTCGGTGGTCTTGAACAGGATGAGAGTGACTGGATTGTGGCTGAGTTCTTCAAGAAAATCACACTGCCCTTGTTTGACAAAGCTGCTGAGAATGTTCCCCGAAACAGTTCTCTGCAAACGTTATGCTCCTTGAGAGACCAAGTGGCATTCGATCATCAGGCAACAATCAGCTGCCACGTGTCATCTAGTCCTCTGGCACCACGCTACCAGCTTCTTGTCGACGAGCTGGGCTATGAGCAAAATTTCCTGGACATCCTGTTTCACATTGGCCTCCTGAAGCGCAATGGAGATGAAACCAAGGTATTCCAGGTATCGAGCCTTTCCGGTAACGACGAGGACTTCCAATGCTCCAACATTCTTGCCAGCATCAAGCATAGCCTGGAGAAACCATGCACAGCTGTCATCTGTTACTCTCCCAAGCTTCATGGCTTCCTCTATGAGCTCTTCAATCAGAATTTCCGCACCTTGACTGTGCATGGAAAGGAGTGTGCCTACTCTAGCATTGCCATGAAGGACAGCTCGTTTCCGTGCCAAGTTCACGAACATTTCCGCTGCATTGTCATTGTTACCCGGGAGATGGCAGCGGCGGAGAAGACGCCATTTCTTAGCCGCTTCTCGAAATTCTCGGTGACTCTTACGGATGTTGTGGACTACATTGCTGCGCAGGCCAGCAAACTGCAAGATCTTGAGGCCCTACAGCACCGGTGTGTCTCTCTGACTAGTCATGTGGAGAAGAGGAACTTCATTGGCTGCGGTCAGGATCTATTCGCTGGAACTCTCGACATGCTACTGGTCTCACAGTTCTTCAACTCTGCCGGCGCATTCTCACTTGGAAGCAGCCTCTCTGATTCTACCACCGCAATTCTGGAGTCACTATTCCGCATGATTCCACTGGAGTCTTTCCTGAATGTGTGCTCATCCTTCGCACCAGTAGAGTTGTATGCTCGTGTGTACTTTGAATGTCACACGGACTTCACGTTGCAAGGGGCAATTTCAAGGAGGAATTCCCGGGAGCTTGGTCTGAGGAAAATTCTGCTGATCACGCAGTCTCCGCAGTCACGCATTCAACAGCTCAAGGGTTTGTTGACGAGCCGGGGCCTGTCAGCAGTGCAAGTCGTGTCAGTCAGCGCGTTCCAGCACTACTCCGAGGCCAAGAAGGCTGTGAAGGACTTCATCCATGGTGATGGAGACAGTATTGTGTTTCTCTTCAACATCTCTCAGCCATTGCAAAAGGCAGCCATTGGTTCCATGCGACAGCTTATTGACGAGCAGTGCGTGACGTGGCGGTCGGCACTTGTTGGTAAAGACAAAACATTCGTGCTGCTGATCTACTCGCTCCTTGAACTACGGATGACTGACTCTGTACTCGTGTCATTCTTCAATGGCTGGACATCTCAGCACGTGTCAGTTCTCGATGAGAAGCAAGTGCAGCCACTGACGGTGCCTGAAATCCTGAGTCTTACTGGCTCTACCCATTCGCAGGTACCTGATCTCAGCAGCGATGACATTACCGCTCGACTGAAGCCTTCTTCTGCATGCCTTGTTGCTGAGTTCTGTTCTCGTTTGACTTGTGTGAACACAGTCAACTTAGCCAGCACCAAGAAACATGAAGACCTTCCTGAGGAATGGAGGCCCTTCTTCAAGCCGTTGTATCGAAAAGCGGCCGACTCTCAGCAACAAGCAAAGGCACTACAACTGATCCTTGGTGATCTACCTCCGGTGTTTGAATGGCTGGGCGAGGCATTTCACAGCTGGGCACACCAACATCAGAACCTTGATGTTCTGCTCGAGACGTGCAGGAGATCTGGTGTCAGCTCGAGACGAGGCACACTGGTGGATGTGCTGCATGAGGAGATAGACACCGTTGTCAAAGACATGATGCAGACTATTCTCCTTGCACTGCTGGACGACTTCAATCTTCACAATATCATGAGGCTTGGCCTAGTGAAGAGACCCAAAGAACTGCTGCACCTGTTGTCGTTTGTACCAGGCACACCGGTTCCATTGAATTGTGATGGTCGTCTTGTATCATTGCGAGACCGAACTGCACTCACTCCGTTTTTTAAGCAGATATGGTGGCGAATGGAGCAGAATGTTGCATCGATGCGTGACACCAAGCTCGATATGGTTCACCAGGCATTTTCAGCTGATCCAGTTCTGAAGGACGAGTGGCTGTTCGACACCAGTGACGATTTCCAGCAATGCCTCATTGCAGACTGTATTTCTTACGTTGCGAAATGGCCGAAACCTCGTGAGAATATGCACCCCAACATTGCCATCGGATTTCTTGTCAAAGAATTCAAGTCCATGGAATCTGGGCCAAGTCTTCTGGCGTTCGTGTGCTGCGCACTCAAACGAAAGGACTACCGCTTGAGACTGTTGTCACTGCTTCACGGAGCTGATGTCCTGTACGAGATTGTTGGTGATGATAAGTACTGCGCTCTTGAGCGTGCGCTACTGGCCATTGCCGATGCTGATGACATGGTGGATGATTTTGCAAAGCTCCTGGTCGACGAGTTGTGGACTGAGCTGGCCAGCTGCTTGCAGATGCGACCTGGTGAGGAGTTCAAGAATGCTCTGTGCACTTGGCATCTACACTACAAATATAGTGACGACCATTGGCCGCAATCTGGTGTGCCACGTCGCTCCACACAGCTCAGTCAGTTACTGGAGTCATCCATTTCCTTCGCTCGACTCAAGTTGCCAGGCAAAGCAGTCCTCTTGGAGACGGTTAGTATGGTAATTGACTGCTTCTCCTCGAACGATGTCTACCTGCAGAGCTTCTTGGCTCGCTACGTCAAGCAGTTCATTGTCAATGAGGACTGGACAAAGATAAGTTACGAGGAAGCCACTCTGGGAAAGACCATAGCAACACTGCTGCGCAAGCTCCGGACGCACAGCCCGTATGACGAGGCTGTGCAGGTCATGCTGCATTGTGCCAGGTGGCTTCTGATTGGCATGGAAGGCAGACAACTAGCCAGCATGAAGGACCTGCGCGTGGATGGTGGTTGCAGCCAGACTCTGAGTATCCTGAACAGCACAGACTTGGGCAATGGTTGCGCGGTACCACTGGCCATCGGTGCCGGTATGCTAGAAGACCTGGTGGACATCATCACTGAACAAAACCTGAGCCCAGTCAGCGTGGCTATTCGGAACACAGTTGATCATGCTCTCGGTGATGCACTGATTGGCAATGCTCTGTTCAGACAATGTACTTACTACCCGGCAATGTATGTCCCACCCTACTTTCCCAGTAGCTTTGCTGAAATCAACCGAGTGCCGAAAGAAGTCATTTCAGTGATGAACAGCCCTTTAGCCCATGCATTCTTCCTGATGGTCTTCAAGCGTGATGGTCGGTCCGACCGAAACTTAATGCTTCTGGTGGAAACCGCTCACATGGCTGGTGAAATTGGCACGGGAACGTCCTTTGGAGCCTGGACTGTGGAGAAGTGCTGCTGTATTCTGCTGGCGTTTCGCCTTGCCGCTGTGACCACGGCTGGCTTTGCGCGTGTTTTCAACAGCAAGACAGACGGCAGTCGCATGTGGGAGCTCAGATTTGAAGATGCCAGACACGTGGCCAGGCTTTTCAAAGAGCACAAGAAGGCCAACTTGTGGCTGGAGTACTTCTTGCTGGAGGCCAGCCTGGAGCTACAGTGGGGATCAATGCTTGACTATCTGACGGAAATGAGTAAGCGAGAGGACTCCCACTGGACCAGCCAGCTGATCAAGCCGAGTGCTGTTATCAGCCGAATGCAGTGTGTGACACTGATGGAATATAGTAGCGAACCCTGGACACATTTCAGGGAGGTGAAGCGGATGTATGCAACACTAGTGAAGGAGTTAAAGCGGAGCACAGACCCTATATCTGTCCTGTGCAAGGTGCTTGGAAGAAAGACACCGCCCAGGGAACTCACAGCCAGCGGAGAAGTAGCTGTTCTGATGGCGGTGTATGATCAGTTTGTGCAGACAAACAGTGCCGCAGACGTTTGTGGCGTCCTGGATGCTACCAACCTGCACTGCTCACCGGTTCTGTACGCCGCCCTGCAAATCCTGCTGTCTGCTCCCCTGGCTAATCTCGGCCGAGAGGCACGCGATGTTCTCTATGGCGCTCAACTAGCTGAACAGAAAACCGTGCGAGACATTCTAATTTCCTCCCTGGTGTCATGTATGCTGGCTCAGGATGACAGCCACTGCAAGACATTGTTACACGCTCCCACCGCTTTGGTTGGTTCGTATCTGTTTGGAGCGTTCTCCAAGCGAAGCTCAAGTCTGTCGGGAGCTCAGTCTCTTCTGGACTATTTCCAGTCCGAAGACTTGCCGCACATGGCGTATGAACAGAGTGCGGTGTCCACACCACTGTCTCATGCAGCACTGGAGCTTAACACAATCCAGACCTTTGCGGCACTGACCTGGCATGCGTTGCTCTATTGTGAGAAGCCGGCCACGGGAGCGTCCAGCAACGTTGTCCACCTGCGGCCGCAAAATGCTACGTCTAAGCCTGGCTCTCCAAGCAGCCCGGCAAGCCTGGACGTCGTGGTCAAGTACATATATGCCATCAAGAGCTCCTACAAGCGCCTGCAGAAAGCTGACATCAACATCTCATCATTGAACAGCAAGTTACTTGTTTACAACTCGATGATGCACATGGCAATGGCGATGAAAACGCCGTTCAAGGCATTCTACACGGACATGAGAGATCGTGTGCACGCCGAACAGTTCTACCAGAACATAGTCATTGATCCGGCTATTCAGGCTACTTGTCAGATCACTGAGCACATTCTTACGCAGGAGAAAGAAGCCCTCAGCACCGATTTTGTCAAGATCTACCAGAACCAGCGACCGTTCGTGTTTGACCTGGCCGGAGAGATGTGGTACATGATCCTGCAGAGTGGAGACCGCCACAGTGTTCTGTCTCACGTCTTTACGTACCTCGCACAGTACAAAGCAATACGACACGTTAAGAGTCTGATTGAGCTGCACCAGCATGCCCTAAAGTGGTTCTCTATGGTCTTTATGCGCTACGAAGTCATCGACCAACGTTTGACGATTGGAAGGGCCATCGAGGTCATGCGCAGCTGGAGTGGCCAACGATCGCAAGAAGAAGTCCGGCAGAGTCTGTACCGGGCTGTCGATGACTACGCCGTCATATGCCGTGCCTTCTCCAATCTGCCGGGCAGCAGCCATCCAGCCTGGCTACCACAAAGACACGCGGGCAAATGTTTGACTGCTGACTCTCTGCTGACTGATATCGTGTCCACAGTTGCTGGCGGTGGAGAACCGTCGTTTCTCGAGTGTATCGTGCAGAGCGTTCTATCCTGGCAAATTGACCTGGTCAAGCTCTGTGCAATGGTCTTCAGCATCGGTGCGAGATCCAAGCAGTCCGCCATACTGAAGAAAGTGGAGCAGGCACTGTCTGAGATGGAGACAGGAGTTTCACCGGAGAAAGTCGTAGCTGACAATGGTATAGGCCTGCTGAATCTCACGCAGAACGACGTGGATGAACTGGTTGAAATATACTGTCGCAAGTGTAAGGATGGTGCTCGGTGGAACATCCATGTTGATTTTGAAGTGCTGGAGTATCAATTCATTGTACGGTGTGCATCCAACGTGAGGAACATTCTGTGGAAAGACAGCTGCGTACCACTTTCGTTCACTGCTGAGGATGGTGAGCAGCTGCCTGCTGGTGAAGTTAGGGACCGCCAGCTGACCCACGAGGAGCAGTGCGCCATTGCGCAATGCTTGTGTGCCCTGGACAACGTCAAAGAGCTGATGTACGACTTGAAGCGTTTTGTACATGACCTGAAGGTCTCTCCCATTCCCAATGGCTCTAGAGTGGTGCTTCTGAAGGATGCTTTGAAATGGAAGCTAGACAATGAAGGAATTGAGTACCATAGGCTGGAGCCTCTTGGTGACCTTGTGGATGCCCGCAAAATAGAAGCAGTGATTTGCATGCTGGAGTCCTACTGGCAGAACGCTGAGTCGGTGGTTTCAAAATTTCCAGCAACTCTGCAACATGAGATGAGGCAGGAAGATAAGACGCTAGTGAGCATTGCTTTATCGAAGCTGTTCGAAATGGGAGCCAACGACCACTTGGATGAACTGCAAAGGATCAGTGTAAAGTGTAACTTGATTGAAGAGTGTCTGAGTCTAGTCTACTCAGTTATTCCCAGTATGCTCCAGAATCCGAGTAAGAGCATCTGTGAATGTATTGGCCGGGATGCGACGCGACCAATATCTGATGCAGTCCGAGCGCTGATAGCTGAGTTCCCTCGGTCCATTCTGGGTTTTCACAGCAAGCAGCTTCTGAGCATCATAGCCAGCTTCCTGAGAGAGAAACAGCTTGACAAGGAGGCACTACAAGCTCGCTCATTGACGCTCCGCGATCCTTGCGAGCTGAGAGAGGCACCGGATTCAGTGCTGGACGGACCTCAGCAGGTGTCCCCAGCTGATGAGATACGAATGACTCCCATCCATTTCAAAGTACAACGAGGCCCCGGCATGGATGTTGTGCAGGATATCAAGCTTCTAGCACCAGCGGAAGCCTCGATGGCCGAGCTCTTGACAAGCAATGTGAAGGGAAAGGTGGCGTGCTATTTTGTGTCGCAAGTGATGTTTACGTTACAGGATGTTCAGATGGTGGAGGACTTTGAGCATGAGGACAGCGATCATGCCCTTGATGTGATCGTCTTTGCCAAGGCCTGACGGTAAGTCACTGTGGTTGAGAGAGGCAATGGATCAAGCTGACGGTAGCGTTTCCGTTAGATGAAATTGCTGCACATGGCTTTATGGGCCGTCCAGTTCGGTGGGCGAAAGCATTGGTGTTTAGCATTCTGAATTAGGATTAACTGATGGGTCCACTCTGCTACATTTGCCATCTGCTATTGATTGCAAACGAATGCTGCGCAGTCAATTCTCGCATTAGTTGTGATCCCCCCCCCCCCCCACCCATTTCCTGTTGTGTCCAAAATAATCCGGCACATGAGCCGAACGCAACGCCAAAACTAATGAGACGTCAGATAGGTTTTTTTTGGTTTGTTCATTATGTAATATAAGTAGGAAAACAGCGCTGCTTTTGACTCGTAGCTTGGATGTCTTTGGCCACGACTGCAGGAAACAAATTCAATGCACCACTCTATGGTGGGTGTGATCTTCACACCTCCAACCGCATCTAGTAGCCACTGTATCTGATGCACTGAGGCTCAAATCAAAGAGTGGTGTCAGGATGATCGGTGCAGAAACGTCAGCCAGCCATACCGTAGGCTCTCGCTAGAGCCGAGTACCTGACTATTTGCTTTCGTGAACGAACTTCAATGTTTGCCTTTGTTCATTGGGAGGGGGCATGAAGAGAGAGATGTGTTTTGTTTTTCTGTTGAGAGCGTATTGAGATTTTCCCAGCACTAATTCTCCAATGAGAATGTGGATGCGATGTGTGTTTTGACTTTTGGCCTATGTGATGATGGGGAGCATGGTAATGAAACATGTTTGTTTTATCTCTGCATGTGTGTGTGTGTGTGTGTGTGTGTTTGTTTGTGTGTGTGGTACATGGTGTGTGTATATGTGTGCGCATGTGTTTGTGCGTGCGCGCGCGTGTGCATGCATTTGTGTATACACACATGTACATGATCTTCTGTGATGCTTCTGCAGAATGCTCTCGCTAGAGTCTTTCCTCACTCACCTCGGTGTAAAGCTGTGACTCCACCATTCATGGCTATACAAGCATTATATCCACGTACTACTCTTGCAGCGACCTGTTTGGGATAATGTTCTGATGTTCTGGTTTTCGGTCCTGCTATTGAGATTATTTGCGCCAGAGTATTTTCTATTCAAACTAAATTTTTGGTTTCACTTCATGGTCAAATCCTTACACTTGCACGTATTACTTCATTCATTTCAAAATTATCAAATTTTACGAATATCATGCAAGTGGATGATGTTACATAAATGGTCATGTATGTCAGAATTTATAGGTACATTTTGTTGAATTGCGGATCATTCTCACTTTCCCGTGGTGTTTGCGCGGATGTAAGTTGCCTTCAGCCGCTTCCTCTGACACGGGGATGTGTCCACTGCTGACCAATGAACACATCACGTGCTCTTCTTTCTCAGCTCTGCTTTAGAGTCCCTGCTGTACCTGGTATCTCGTAAGCATTCCTTCGAATCTTTATTTTTTTTATTCCGACACTGCTACCGTGAATTGAGCCCCTTCAAGTTGTTTGGCAATCCTTGTACTATAAAGTAGAAATTTTAGGTGTCCTGGATGTTTATGTGAAGCCACGTTTTTGCAACTAGGTAGGAAGAAAATTCTCTCTGTGGCACCACATGGTCACAATCATTTCAGGTTGATTTTATTTTTCAATGACCATTAGCGTTCGGTCCAGAAACTTGACACTTTTTTACCAAAATATAATTCCTACTGAAGCCTTTCTCCGGTCGTACGGTATCGGTATTTTCTTCTGCTTTACTGTGAAGACATGAATGTCCAATTTCGCTTTTTTATTTGAATATGACAATATGTTCCGGTACAAACGTATGTGCAATGAACACATTTCCATCCTGTGGATAGGTGGCTTTTGGTGGCGCCAGATGGCTGAGTGCTTTGTATCGACACATTACGATGTGTATGTGTTTCTTGTGTGTGTGTGTGTGTGTGTGTGTGTGTGTGTGTGTGTGTGTGTGTGTGTGTGTGTGTGTGTGTGTGTGTGTGTGTGTGTGCGCGTGTGTGTGTGTGTGTGTGTGCATGTGTGTGTGTGTGTGTGTGTGTGTGTGTGTGTGTGTGTGTGTGTGTGTGTGTGTGTGTGTGTATGTGTGTGCATGTGTGTGTGTGTGTGTGTGTGTGTATACATGCGTATGTGTATGCGCAGTGATGACCAATGTCATTGGTCAAATTAACGCCTTTGTTCCCAATGCTTTCTGCTCTGTACAATGTACTGCCTGAGTCCACACAGCATATCCGTTACCATGGTTACCATACTGCATCAGTGCAATATCCGTACACATGTTCTGGATGTATTTCTTCACAACCATTAGTAGGCATTATGGATATTTTTCTCAAGACAGATCTGCACGGTGTCTTAATTGGTGCAGTGATCGTGAAAGCAATTGTGCTGAATGCAAAGTCCAGTGCAAGGCTGCACTGTCACTATCATTCTAGCAACTAGCAAGAGACGTGGTCGCTTACTAGTACATGTACTAGTAATACCAATGATTATGTTCTGCCTCCCTACTCCGAGTGTACGCAACGCTACAATGGCATAATATCAATAATTATTATGTAGGTTTACATAATCATTTACTTGCATGATGTAGACTACTGGCACTAGATCTCAGCCTACGCAGGCCGTCACTCGTCAGGGCCTTTCAGATTACTCTCTCGTACTAGCTCTGTTTCTCGCTAGCACTGCTTTTGTGGCCGCATGTCACTTTGCCAGCCACAAAGCTGTTGAAAAGATCAAGGTGCAAGCCTGGTCGTCGAAACACTTTGTTGTTTCTCACGCAGTACTACTACTAGTACCTGTTCGTGAAGGCACCTCGCTATTTTCCACTCTACTTCTTCTGGTACCGTGTCCTGTTCTGGACGTTCATTCTCCAGAGTTCAGAAAGAGCTGACTCCTGTTGTCTTGCTGTCGCGAGTGTCGGTTTTGTGTTTTTCTGACGTGGCATGGCAGCTCATGCCTGCGTCTGCTGCTCTGCAGATCTGATACCCAGGGTCGGATTCCAGCTGACAGAATGCAGGCTGAACTTGTTATGTCGCCATTCGCGGGGTAGGTTTCAGATCATCTGCCTCTGGCCCTGTCTGGGTCAGGCTGCAAAGAAGTGCATAATGGTAGGGGTGACGGTCTATTTCCTGACAGGATGCTGCATCAGCCAGTCCAGTCTTATGTCCATACTAAATTCTTACGATGTCCATGGTGGAGAACTACATTGTACATGACTGTCTGTACATCATTCTGTACAGTCATATTCCGTGCAGGTCGCAAAGGCGACGTTTTCAAAAAGGACCCGGTAAAGCGTTTGAAGAGATTCGACGAGTGAAGTCCGAGCTCGTTCCGACCTGGCCTTATCCTGTGACTCGCCACTGTGAGCGTGGTCGGCAGCACACAGGAGTGGTTCCATGGAACTGCTGTCAAGTGGACGGAGCATTCCGATGGTAAGTAGGTCGTCTTCTTTTGCATGATAGCGCACGAGCAAGTAAGTTAGTTGACCATGTTTCGTTCTTTTCACAACCATGCACGCATCACTGTGCCAGTGCATGAAGTATCCGTAGATCTACTAGTACTAGGCATAGTCGTAGTTTCCAAAGTCCGACTGCTGTCCCGCAAAGATCAAAAGTGGGTTGCAGTCATGAGCCGCCGAGCATGGGACGAAAATTATTATAAGTTTTCGACCACCCTAGCTAATTTTGTATGCTAAAACTGAGCAATGCCCAGCGTTGGCGATAACACACACAACAACATAATTATAGACTTGAACTCAACTCAGTGCAAAAGGTCCATGGGCCTAGATTGTATTGAACATTACTAAAGTACAGCGCTGCTAAAATGAAATCCGATCGAGTCACTCAAGTACGCGCCTGGCATTGTGCAGCCTAGACCTGCCTGCAAACACTGGGATGCGAAATGGTGCAAGGCTCAAACTTGACTCACTGTATTTCATTGAATAGCAGCACCGTACTTCAGCATTCTTTCAGTAGATTTCTTGCACGGTGCCCAAGATATGAGTTGAGTCCATGACAATAAGAATTGGGATATGAATTGCACGAAGGGATTCGGGGAGTGCGTTGGAGTGGCCAGGGGAAAGGAACTGAATAGATGCGTGCCCAGCTTGTGTGCGTGTGTGTGTGCGTGTGTGTGTGTGTGTGTGTGTATATGTGTGTGTGTGTGTGTGTGTGTGTGTGTGTGTGTGTGTGCGTGTGTGTGTGTGTGTGTGTGTGTGCATGTGTGTGTCTGTGTGTGTGTCTGTGTGCATGTGTATGTATGTGTGTGTGCACACTAGGTACAGAAAGGACTGGCTAGCCCTATCTCTATCTGTACTAGCACACTTCAATCTCCAAAGGAACCTTTAATATGATTGGCAAAGGTAGAGCAAAGCTCAGTGCTGCTCATTGAAATCCAATCATGTGAGTCAAGCTGTCGCCCTGCACAAGATCCCATGAACCGCCCGGTGTGGCATGGACTCACTTGATTGTATTTCATTGGGCTGCACCGTACCATTTTGTTACCTCGTTCCCCAGGTTCTAGTGCACAGTTACACAGTCGAAGGTCACTCGGCTTTGACGTCCTGAGCATTCACGCATGCAGCCGTGAACATTGATAGCTGACTTTCGAACTGGTTCAAGTTATTTAAACACTTTCCTTGCAGGGGCGTAGGAGGGGTTTTGGAAAAGGTACGACCGAAAGTCGGCGCGGCTGAAGGCCGTGTTGAAGGGGGGTCCGGGTGACCTCCCCCGTGAAAATTTTGTAAAAAAGACACAAAATCCTGCGTTCTGGGAACATCTGGCACACTTCTGGCGCGCGCAGTGTGCAGTCGAGTCGAGTACAGTAGATCTACTCAGTACGACTGGTGATGCATGGCAGATCTAGGAGTCTAGCAAAAGGTCAAAGTCTGATACGCATATTATTATGTATGCGCATCGATGGATCCTGATTTTTTTTATTACGGTTTTGCACGTTTCGGACGGACCACACTTTTCGAAAAGTGGTACGACCATGGTCGTACCAGTCGTAGCGGGTGCTACGTCCCTGCCTTGGCTGTACAATTACTGTTTGAAGTATAGAGTGGTTTCAAATAGTTGTCATGTGACTAAAGCTTTGTGCAGAAAGTGATCAGGTCATGTGGACAGTGGAACCAACATGGCCGATATCACGTGACCCATAGATGCGGGGGTTGAGTGGAGTCGGAACCAACATGGCTGCCGCATGTGGTCATGTGATCGATGTGAAACAGCTGCTAAGACAGGCACATGTACATGATGGCTTTGTGTAACATTGCATTGTTTGCTTGATAGATTGGATAAGCCAAAGAGAACGAGGCCGTGATGAGCTCTCCGCTTTCTGAACCTGCGGCCGGTCTTGGAAGACCCCCGGAAAGGCAGGTGCTAGCGGAGCAGGAGTTGGAGAGACTGCTTCAGCGGTCCCGTACGTCGAGCTCCCTGCAGCAAAGTACAGGTGGTGTGCGACGTTCAGCAAGCGTACCACTGGCTAGCCAAACTGGACTAGAGAGGGTTGCGGAGGTGGATGGGCGCGAGTCGGCCATAGTCGCGGACGAGTCTGGTGATGTGGACAGATCAACCCTGGAGAGGCCAGCTAGTGCACCTGTCTTGTGCCCCAGTCGACCCATACCTGATGTGTATCGTCAGCAGTCAGCAAGGCCAGGGCGCACTGGTGAACAAGATCCATCCGGGAATGCTTGTGGACGCTCTGCCAGCGTCCCTTTGCCGACTCACCGACGACTAGCATGTGTGCCTGAGACAGATGGGCAGCATGCGGCAAGCGCTGTGGACGAGCACGGCAGTGCACGCTACTCCACCCCACCAAGATCTGCAAGTGTGCCGGTGACTTCGGGACACGAACTCGGAGCACACAATTTCGATGCACTGACGCAACATATGAGCAACACCAGTGCCTCTGGCTCTCCTGTGCAGGCCATGCATCTGTTGGATCGTGATGCAAGCGGCGTGCTCAACCCAGTCCAGGAATGCGGCCAGCCACCAGGTGACAATCTGGCATTGGCTCAGGGAGATGGCGATGATGACAGGAATGAAAGTGCGATGCCCGATGATGAGAACCCTGCCGTTCCTGTTGCAGTCCGTAAGTGTCCAAACGATAGCGAACCATTCGTGCTCATACTGTCGAATCCTTTCCAGTTTGGAGGTGAATAGAACCGGTATCAAATGATGACCTCTCACCCGGAACCCCTACGGGCCCCATTTTGGGTCCTCAGTACACATACTTGTGGATCTCCCACATTTTTACTTGACTATGGGGTGAATCGTGTTATTCAAACTGAAGTGTAGCCGTGAAAAGTGAGGTCGTCTGAGACCAGGGCTGAACACAAAGTGTACCGGGAGAAAGTTCTGCTTGGTGGCGGAGTGATATTCCGACCGCAGTGCGACGCAAAGTTGATTGGATACTCGTCCTCTTGAAATGAGAGTATCATGAATGCAGCACTTAGGAGTTCATGAATTTGATCAACAAACCCTGATGGCTCTGATCTGCTCACTACCATCCTCTGGATTATGAGCTTCACCGAAACGGCATGTTACAAACATACCCACTACAAAAATTCCAAGTGGCAGCACTGTTGATGTCTGTTATGCGTGTTTCTGTATCGTGCAGATTTCCCCTTTGCCGCACACGTCTGTGAGAGCGTACCACCTCCGTCCGCAAGCAAACCTAGACGGATCGAGTGCAAACCCGGCGAGGAGGTGACCGTGCTGGACTGCTTGCCCAGCCAGGAGTTCTTCGTGCACAACAAAAGCACTGGCCACCTGGGTGTTGTGCCGGTGACAGCACTAGAGGATGCCCCTCCACAATGTGAGCACAGCAACAACACAGGTTTTAAAAACCTTGTCTGG